GCCCACCCCCGTTCCACCCCCCACCCTGCAACACCATGGCGGCCATGCCCTTCGCCCATGCCCCGGAGCATCATCTGTGCGCAACAGAGCATGAGGGCAGAGTCTTTGCCCGGCTGCCATGTCCTTGGCTGCACTGCTCCGTGCGGGCCATGCCCGGGGGCGACTCTCCTCTGGGGGGCTGCTAGTGAGGAGGGGGCCGCAGGGGGAGGCGGGGCTGGGGCAACGGCGCGTGTGCCCACAGAGAGGGCTCCGGGTGCAGCCTCTGGCACACGTGCCATAGGTTCGCCATCACTGAGCTAAAGCATCAAAATCAAAGATCTAAACCATAGTCTAATTTTATGATATGCATCCTCTGCCATCGTGTCATGGGTGTGAAGATTCTAGTGGGTGTAAGTGCTTTCATAGATAACTAACCATTTAGGAATTCATAAATTCATAAACTAGCATCTTAAGATGGACCTGAAAACAAACTGGCAATCAGTGTAGTGACCCAAATACTAGTGTGATGTGATAACATTAGGCTTCTCATTAACAAGTAGGCAACTGCATTCTGTACCAGATGCAGTTTCCAGATGGTCTTTGACTACAGCCCCATCTATTACCATAGCTAAACATGAGGTGAGGAGGATATGAGTGACTTGCCCAGTGCTTGTTCCAATAATAGATTTAATTGGGACATCAGCCAAAATTAAGTAAAGATTCTCTTGGGTATGGACTCCACATGCTCTTTTGGTAGGAGCTTTTAATTTAGGAGTTATGGATGAGCTCCTGGGGAGTAGGCTTAAGGTTGGTATTGTCTTGAAGTCAAGAAAGTCTGAATCAACTGCCACTGTATCCTTCTTGGGTTAAATCATCCTGTTTTTCCACATCCAGCCCTTGTAATCTTCAGAACTAGGTTAAGAATTACACTGCACTCATTCAGTATTATTGGCTAAAAGTTCATTTTTGTTGTATATGTTATTTAGAAAACTCTTTTAAATTGTTTTTAATTTTTTTTCTTAATGTTTGCATTTTCAAAAGCAAAGCAAAGCTAAATACCTGTACTGCAGGGTCATTATATTGTTATTATAAGGGTAGTCTGTAATCAGTGTGTGTGTGTAGGCTTGATGAGTTATGTTTAATAACTGTTCTTAATTATATTCATACTTGAATATAATTACAACTGTTCATAAACAAAGTTAATTGTTTTATATTTCTGTGTTCTTATTTTAGGAAGTTGTCTTTGTCTTATTTATTTCATTGTTTCTTGTCTTAACTTTACAATTATTATAGTGTATCATCTTGGAGTGATAGGTTTATTTTGTATAACAGTATTGTTTGAGATAACATGTTGGAAATAAACATTCTAGCTTTGGTTTCTCTTTTTTCACTGCCAGAAAAAAGCAAACGACTGTGAAATATTTACAAAGTTTCACATTTTGTCTTGACAATACAAGTTTTTAAATTAAATTCTAGAAATTATTCTCCCTACATTAATAAAGAAGAATATTAAAACTTCATTGCTCAAAAATAAGTTAGTGAGTTGCAAGGATAGCCCACCACAATTCATTCCCCAACCATCCTTCTCCAGTCACTGAGCACTGCCTTCCAATTCATCCTGGGTTGTTGGGCTGCCTGCCCCAATCAGAGGGGACCTTCCCATGGAAGACCATAAAAAGCTGGACTTTTTCATTTTACATTCATCAGTTGAATACAACAATGTTAAGGCTCTTAAGTGAAGACTTTTCTAGAAATAGTGGAGTTTTTTCCTGACAAACTGCATTGACATTGGCAACAGTTCTGCCAGTTTACCCTTCTGATCTAGCAGACAGAAATAAAAATAGAAACTTTAGTGTTTTCGGGGGTTTTCCTTCTCACCATACATTGCAGACAAAGCAATGTATGGTGAGATTGGATCCAGATAAATGGTGAGAGAATGGATCCAGATAAATACTTCTAAAGCTGACTTCATTTCCAGTGAGTTGCAGCATAGGAGACAAACAGGTCATGGCAGCAGTGCAGAAGAGCCCTTAATACCCACTATTTCTTGACGAAGAGATTACAATGCATTGGATTGGGAAGGAAGTTCATTTAATTGGCTTAAGAAACGACTGATTCATAATAACAAAGTTTTCTTAAGATATTCCCAAATCTGGAAATTTGGGGAGCTCTATTCATTATTTTAAAGTTATGTGGCTTTGTCCAGGCGGTCCTATTTCTTTAAGTTGTGGTTTAAAAAAAATAGCCTAAACCATTCAGAAGGTTCTTGGAGTCAGGCAGCATCAATAAATAAATATTGAAATTTACCAGATTATAAATTTAAATTTTCTCAAGACATTAGGATCACAAAGCATAGCCTGATCTTGATTTTTAGTGAGTATTTAACAATAGGTTCACAGTTCATACACCCTGAGCAATATGTTTAATAAACTAGGGTTTGCCTGAGTAAAAAGGAAACATTAGTCAATTTCTTCTTTTTTGCTTCAAGAAACCATGATTTTTTGAATCAGGAAGACTGATTGACATGATAAGTGCATAATACTTTTACTTCTATCTGGATTTGAGGATGCTAATTAATGACCTCTACAGGTAATGTAGAGATCACTGCAAGACCTCTATTATTTTCTCTTGGTTGAAAAGTTCAGTTCTACATTTTGAGTTACAATTCCCCCCCCCCCAATTCATATCCTATAAATTTAATGTACCTAACAGAAGCTCCACAATCTTATGGAAAACATGCATAGGAGCTCCATGCCTGTTGACCAGGAGATACCCAGGAGTTTTTCCCAACCTCATTGGATGATCTGATGAAAAATATACTCATCAGCTTCTCATATGATTGTATAATTTATGAGAATGTCTCATTCCCTGCTATAACTTTTTTTCTCTCAACATCCTTTATTTTACTCTTGCTTTATAGGGAACAAGTACACTTTGGAAACTAGACCAAACCAAGAAGGAATAGATGTAAGGCAAGAGCTTTTGAAGTTTCACTCCACTTACTATTCATCAAATTTAATGGCTGTTTGTGTTTTAGGACGGGGTAAGAATGGCAAACATTGTGAGAATTATTTTGAAATATTTAAATGTTGTTAATATTTTATATAATAATAAATCATTTAGGAAATTAAACACAGTCAAGCTTCATATTCAAGAGTAAAATAAAAATGACATTCCTGGTTATAACACATAAAAATATTAGAACACAGATGCAAAACACTCAGTATTATTTTGCAGATTTATTCTTTTCTGCCTTCTATGGCTATTAGCATCACTGCTCTTTCTTTAAGTTCATGTCACATCACCGTGTTTTTTTTAAAAATAATTTTTAGAGTATGATTATAAACCATGATTCATTGTATTGTTTCAATATAACAATGTTTATATGATTAAGATTATTGATATTATTAAGTATTATTTAGGTGGCTTAAAATATTGAAAAGAGGGAAAGGAAAGAAGCAGTTCTGTCAATATTAAGTAAAATTTAGGATGTTAATATTCTAACCGTAAAACTATTTGATTTTTCATCTGAATATATTAAAATATATATTAATATATTAATAAAGAACCACTGTACTCACATCAAAGTATCAATAATGTGATAGTTTTAATCTTAAACTAATTACTAATAAAATTTTTATTGTATTGCTCTAGTATAGATATAGATTAATAAAAGAAAAAAGATAGGCAAATCAAATTTAATAAAGATAAAATATCTGAAAAGTAATAATAACAACAACAACTACTACTACTACTACTACTATTACTGTTGGTTTCTAGTTTGCACCTTTTTATACATTTGTTAATCTTTGTGATATTTGTAGACATTCAGACCCCCTTAAAAATGAAACTATACATGGTTATGTTCACCATGCTGTGTAGTGTGTTTGATGTATGGGAACCATTTTTATTTAAATTTAGTTAAACTTGTATTGTGTAAGTATAATGTTAGTTTTGCAATTGCTGTGTACAGTCCAAGGTTTGGAATCAGATATTGTCAGGATTGTGTCCTTCTTCCAGTGTTGAGCAAAATTTATTCTTGCTTTTGTAAATATATATAAAATTATGATATTTTTGTTGATATTTTTATGAGATTATATTTAGTAACAAAAGCTGTGGTTTCATTCAAATTTAAATTCCAAGATTTTCTGCATTGTACAATATATGTCTTTCCAGAACTTTTAAGATCTTTTACATTCTATCACATGTGATAAAATGTTCCTTCTATTTCTTGTTATTTCTAACATTTATTACTATCTGATTTGTCTATATTTGTTGACGGAATTGTATACCACCTATAAAACATTTTGTAAACAATTTTCTTGTAAGTTATAATTTGGTGTAAATTTTATATATTTAGTTCATAATTCTTCCCATTGTTGCATTGTAATAGTTTCTTTAAAGTTTGTCATCCATTTTGCCATACAGTATTTTCTTTGTTCTGTCTCTGTATCATATTAAGAGTTTGTATATATACTCTTAATAGGTGGTCTTGATGTTATATGAACATTTAAAATTTTGTGGGCTTTTTTCCTGAATGTCCCTCCTTGAAATCTGATTTTATTTATATTATGCAGTGTAAAATAAACTGACTGAATTCTGGATACAGAATTTCTGCAATAAGAAATATGTATTCTTAAGTTTTTAGATGTGTGATTAAAAGATAGGGCTCCTAGAGCTCTTTGATTAGAGAGGTTAAGACAGTGGTGGCGAACCTATGGCACGCGTGCCAGAGGCGGCACTCAGAGCCCTCTCTATTGGCATGCGCGCGCCACCACCACCAGCAGCAGGTCCATCAGGCTGCCACCACTGCCCAGAACACTGCACCACTGCCCCGCCCAGCACAAAGGAGGTGAAGCAAGCCCGAGTAGAGGTGGTAGAGCAGAGGTCACTAACCATTGTCGCTTGGTGGACTGGAAGAAAAAGGAGGGGGAAGCATTTTACATGCGTGCACATGCGCCTGGGCCGTGAGCACACACATGCTGCAAAGGGGGCAGGGTTAGTGCCTGCGTGATACTCACTAGCCCTGCCCCGTTCTTGTGTGGTGCGGCGCCCTGTATCTGCAGCCCGCGGTGCGGTGGCGGCCATTTTTGCGCCTTGCAGCACGGTGGCCCGTTTTTGCGCCCCTGTTTTTTGCGTGCCAGAAGCAATACTCGGAGGCGCCTCCCTGCCCTCCCCCCCCGAGGGCACCACAATGCTGATGCGGCCCTGGCACTTTGCGATAAATAAGTGGGGCTTAGGTTGCGGTTTGGGCACTCGGTCTCTAAAAGGTTTGCCATCACTGGGTTAAGAAGTCTATAAATGATCTTATTTTCTATATTTTTCTAATAAGATATCCTCTAATGTATAAGAGTTACATTATCAGAATTCCCAATAGGTTAGAATTCTGGAAATTAAAATCCAACACACTTTAAGGGCCTGGAGTAAGTGATGCTGCTGTTAATTATTGGTTATTTGTTTTCATTCTTTTTTGCAGAATCTTTAGATGAGCTAACCAATCTGGTGGTGAAGTTATTTTTTGAAGTAAAGAATAAAAATGTTCCAATACCGGAATTCCCTGAGCATCCCTTCCAGGAAGAACATCTCCGAGTGGGTTTGAAACTTTCAAGATTACACTTTTGTTAAACAGTAGATGGAACAAGATAGTATTAAATATTCTCTGAAAATCATAAGTGGAGATTGTTATATACAAGTTTAACCATCTATTTCCTGAAATTATAGGAACTGTTCCTAAAGTTGATAGCTTTAACCTTTAAACAAGAATAAAAATTTTTAAATAAGGCTTTCCTGTTTTCTTTTTTTTGAAATTTTACAGCAACTTTACAAAGTGGTACCTATTAAAGATTTTAGAAATCTATATGTCACATTTCCAATACCAGATCTTCAGAAGTACTACAAATCAAACCCTGGCCACTATCTTGGTCACCTTATTGGGCATGAAGGTCCAGGAAGTCTTTTATCAGAACTGAAAGCTAAAGGTAAGATAATTCAAAGTTAGCTGATATGCTACTTGCATTAAACTTGTTACTAAGACTTGTGGAACTGCTTCTGCATAGTGCCTTCATGATCTAAGCACATTTTATCGCTTTTGCCCTTGGGTAGGGTCTATGATTTTAGTAGTGTTAACAGATGTCTAGAAGTATTAAAAGAAGAGACCAGGATCCACCAAAAAGGCTTCCAAAAGATCACCTGTATCTTTCTAGTTGATATTCCTTGTCCACAAATAGGCAATTTCTATGCCTAATATATTTGACAGACTGTCATAATATTAAATTTCTGTCCACTCTCAAAAATGAATTAATCAAGCCTGATGCAATCAATCTTCTGAGAGCACTTCCTTGAGAAATGTTATTGATGGCTATGGAATAATCAAATTCCTCAGCAAGTATTCTTATGCTTGTATTGATTTGCTCCAGACTTCCATTAATTGTGGCCCAATTATTAGAGGCATCCTCTATATCAACAGACTCCTGCAGAACTATTTAGATGGTTCTTGCTCCTTCTGTACGACTTTGCTTGCCTATAGCAAGTTGATCAGTAGGCATGTTGCCTTACCAGAAAACAAACTCAAGAAGCGAAAGGTTCTTCCTGCACATGGGGTTGATATTTCTAAAAGAAAAGGCAGAGGTACTTCAATCTTCCATCATCAACACTTTGATTTTCCTACTATTACCATATTTGTCTTCCTAAGTCTGTTTTTGATTTTACTTTTCCTAATACTAAGCACCCTGGCTTTTTCAAAATCTGCCAAACCATGGTGTTGCTGGCTTTTCCTTTTCATTTCTTCCTGGAATCCAGATATGGCAGATGAGTCTGCAGAGGTCTCTATTAGAAGAAAATTTTACATATACCAGTTAATTCACATGGCAAAGACTTACAGCTTCAGTAGACTTATTCAATTGGTGACCAGATTCATCAAGTAGTCTATGCCAGTGCTTATGTGTCAGTGGCTGAACTTGCTGTTTTCTTTCTCTTTAGGTATGTGGAAGATATCTGAAGACAGTTCTGAATTCCCAATGGAATTCAGGTTAAATTAGGATCTCAAACTCATGTAATTCTGATAAATATACCTAATATTGAATGCAGTGAGACAATGTTCTTCTATCATTCTGCCCTTTTTCTGCATTGTAGTTCAACAATCTTGATTAGGAGGCAGTCAGCTTTTCTTCTAAGAAGGTATTAATGTTCCTTTCCCTATTTTCTTGAATATAAAGATCTAGCAGTAACATCTTTACGATGGCCTGCAGATTGAAGAACACTGATCAAATATTATATGGCTAGTTACAGTTTAGCCTCCCCCATCAGTGGCATCATACTTAAACACCATGCTTAGTTTTACAATGTAGGACTCTTTCAGGAACTTTCTAATGTCCTTGAATTCTGGAAGTGAGGCCAATTTAAATCTGGCTGATTTAGTTATAAAAATGTATTGGAAGAAAGTAATAGAATTAGAATAATCAAGAGGAAAAAAGGACTAAAATGGATTTTAGCTTATGAAAGAACTGTCAAAACATATATAGCACTTATTGGTGATATTATCACTTTTTAAATTAATAATATCTGATAATATTGTTGACTTCTATTGTTATCAGTAGAACAATTAAAACATTTTTAAGGAGCTTCTAAATCATCCATATCTAGGAACTCTGTATGCTTCTACAATTTAAAAATAGAAAAATCAATTCTCCATAGGTAAGATCTGCCAAGACTGAAGAAAATGCCTGCAGAATTAGATGATTTAGAAGGGACCAGGATCAGACAAGTTGAACCAGAAATATATGAATGCCATGATACCCTTGGTTCCCAAGGGTAAAGTAAGAGCATCATATTTCTGAAGAATTTGCCATATCAGTTGTCTTGGACTTCTAATTGTAATGAAGGCACCTTATATTTTTGAGTTCATCCTTTAGTGCCATGTCATACAAGCCATATTTGACATTATATTTGACATTATAGCATGGTATCATACATAACTGTGTGTACATGTTCATGCCATTCATTTTTCACCTTGGATAACTATCGTTCAGAATTTCTTCTCAACTGTGAAATACTGTGTAGCTTCTGACAATACACTGGCAAATATTCTTAATGACAAGTAACTATACAAGCATATGCTTGCCTTGTGGTCATTCACAACTTCTTTGCCCATTGGAGAACCTCTTCCATTGATACATTTCCACATCATGCAATATTTTCTGCTGTTACGTCTACAGCAGATCATGCCATAATTTAGCCTTTGATAATGTCTACTATGTAGTTGGAACCAATTTATTTGCTTTTACCCATTCTACCTGTAACCAAGATATCTCAAATGCGTGCATTCTAGTAACCTGGTAGCCTGAACAGCCATAGATCTCTATCCTCTTTCATCTGATTTTGCCTTCCACAATGGCAGGATTTAGAAACCCAGCACTATGAATTGCTATATCACCGTGACCAATTTTTCCTATACCTCACCACTTGATTTCCTCAGTTCATAATTTTTCAGTAGAGATGATAACATTAGAAGCCATTCAGCTATACTGTAGGTATTCATTTTTTCAGCTTTTGCTTTTGCCATAACTGGCTGTTTCGTACATTTTACAGATGTTGCTGTCTCTTCATCCTTAGCAACTTAGAATTTTCTTCTGTAAAAGAACTTTTTTTTGCTGTGCACAAAACAGTAGTCACCATTCCATGTTTTCTTATCCAATGTTGAATTATTTCCTGAATGGTTTTGACAACATAACCCGCTACTATAGAATGTATTTCCTTCAAAGCACAGAACTCTTCAAACCATTTGCAACATAGATCTTCAGTTATTTATTTTTAAACAATATTCCTAGTAACTGTTATTTCTTCCTGTGTATACACACACACACACACACACACACACACACACACACACCTCTACCTCTGTGAATCCCTGATTGCAGGACTGTGTTGTCCTAGGTAACTGAGAGGAAAGCCAACATTTTGTCTTAAAGTGTATTCAGAAGGATTTTTTGGTTTAAAACTTTCTCGGTTGGAGAAGATTTCCAGTTAAACTTTTGTGCAGATATAGGACAAATATGGTAATCCACAGATGGTTGTTAAAAAAAAAAAGGTATTGGTAAACAAGCTGTTCTTACTGTTAAGAATTGATTCTTGGAGCCTTATGTTGGATGAAGTCATTCTTTACTGTGTTATAAGACACAATTATATATATAATTTCATCTATATCAAATGAAAAATTACAAACAAATCAGTTGTAAAATTGTATGCATCTATGCAGTGATTATTATTGCATACCACACAACCTAATACATGTGTAACATAGCTAAATGTGACTATATCTAGAGAAAACAGTTGTGTATTTTTAAAAATGGCAAAAGGTGGAAAAAAAGGATAAAGTATTTTGTAATATTTTGATTTAAAGTAATCCACAAAGTATCATGAAAGCACTTGGTTATTAATTTGAAAATGCAGTGGTTCAAAAAATAAATAAACAGGTGAAAAGGAGACAAGCTTGACTCAGTTCAGGCAAATGCTGAATCCCATGAACACACTAGAAGACTGTTAAACTAATTGCAGTAGCACTTAGCCTTATATACCACTCCACAGTGCTTTACAGCACTCTCTGAGCGGTTTACAAATATTAGCTTATTACCCCCAACCACTGACCCCAACCGACCTCAGAAAGGTGAGTGGTTGACGCTTCTGCTTCAAATTAAGAGAAATGTTTGTCAAAATTTATGCGGCAAAATTTTTACACCTTGATTCCCTCTAGTTTTCTTTTGATAAAATAGTAGAAGACTAAATACACAATATAAGAGCTTCCTGAATTACACTACAATCAAGTTGATTTCTTCCATTTTCACCTTTTACCTTCTTATTTTTCTTAAACAAGTTTTTATTTGTAAAACATTTCAAAACATTTTGAAGTATATTAAATCACATTTCTATTTGTCTAAACGTGATGGACATTTTAACTCTATGTATGCCAAAGGCATATTGTTCATAATATATTTTAAAAACTAACAGTGTCTCAATGTTCATGTTTGGATTTGTATTGCCTTGATTTCAAAACATGTTTCATATTCAAAATTGGCTGATTTATCTTTATAGAAGTGTTATTGCTATAACATTTCTGGAAATTCATTACCTCTAATGGTCCCATTTTATCGGTTCCATTCATAATATTCTGTCATAATGTGTAAAAGTTGTTAACCAAAAATACATATATTGTCAGTGTTTGCTTAAAAATGATATAACTTTTTAAAAATGCAAGCAATATTGTATGTATATTATATGCTTTTATCATACATAGGCTGGGTAAGCACCCTGGTTGGTGGACAAAAAGAAGGCGCTCGAGGCTTCATGTTTTTTATCATTAATGTTGATCTTACGGAAGAAGGACTGTGTAAGTGGATCCCTTCAATAATTTTGCTTTGCTAGGGCTTAACTACCATTTAAATATCACTTCTCTTATAAGACCTTTTATATATCCCACTGTGAAAAATATTCTATAGTGTACTAAAATGTAAACATTTAATTGGCTTTAATCATAGAAACAGATAGTCCTTTACTTACAACCATTTGTTTAGTCACTGTTCAAAGTTAATGACAGCAGTGAAAAAAATGACATGACTGGTTTTCACATTTGCAGCATTCCTATGTTCACATAATCAAAATTTGGGTGCTTGGCAACTGGCATGTATTTATGACAGTTGCGCTGTCCCATTTGTAACCTTCCCAGATGGCTTCCAACAAGCAAAATCAATGGGGGAAACCAGATTCGCTTAATGACCACATGATTCACTTAACAATTGCAGTGATTCGCTTAAAAACTATGGCAAATAGGCCATAAAATGGGGCAAAATTCACTTAACAACTCTGTTCCTTAACAAAGGAAATTTGAGGCTCAATTGTGGTCATAAGTTGAGGACTACCTGTACTATAGCAAGAAGGATTTTCTTATTTTTCAGAATGCTGCTAACAGTTCTGTGTGCTTTTTCCTGATCTTACAAATGTGATAATTCCTCATGTTCTAAATCAGCAGTATCCAAACTTGGCAACCTTAAGGTCTCTGGACTTTAACTCCGAGAATGATCCAGCAACTCCCAGAATGACCCAGTTAGCCATTCAATTTTGGGAGTTGAAGTCCACAAGTCTTAAAGTTGCCAAGATTGGACACCCCTGTTCTAAATACTGCTGGCAGTTAGAAAGAAAACAGCTCCTGATAATCAAATTGGTTTGAAAACTGTCTGAAGCTTTGCATGCATGCAATATACTCTACACACCTTCTTTCACTTCCTGAGCTTGTGCTACACTACAACACCCCCCCCCCCAATTCAGGCATGAACTACACCAGGCCTCCCAAGGTCTCCCTAATCCCACTGCCTCACTGCTGTCCTCCTTACCTGGACTCTCTCCACTTCCAGATTTGCACATCTGAAGTTATGGCAACTACTAGGATTGCCATCACTAAGTGATGCAATCGTGTGATATTGCACTTCCCAACTGCATTGTTTTATGACGGAAAATTTTGGTCCTAGTTGTGGTTGTAAGTCATGGATTGCCTGTATAGTAACAACATCGTACAGGAGTTGTAATCCTAGAACTTTTGTGACACTTTTGCTTTGACCTAACAAAACTAAAAATCCTGTATTTTTTCTTGTATAGTACATGTGGAGGATATTATTTTGCATATGTTTCAATATATTCAAAAGCTACGCACAGAAGGACCTCAAGAATGGGTTTTTCAGGAATGTAAGGTAAGATATCTTTACCAGATTATTTTATATTAGCTTAAGGAGCATGATAAAAATCGTATCATTTTAAAAACAGGATTGAACAGGCACCTTAAACATTTTAGTTTGATATTTCATGATAGTGAATCTTAGAAAACCTATCATGAATAAAATATTAAGCAAGTAGCATCAAAATCTACAAGGGCTATTAAAAGGCATTTTTTTAGTTCCCAAGGAGGTGAACTGATATGTCATGTCCAATATTAAAGCTTTTTGAAGCTAAAACATTAACCCAAATATTCTACATTGCTCAGGTGGCCTATATATGAAGAAAAAGACCCTTAGAGACAATACAAACTAAGTTTTTTAAGGTTTTTGTTTGTGGCACCATGAAGTATCCCCAAGGTAGTATCAGGCTTGAATCTGGAATGTCCAAAATTGAACTGGAGCATGGAGAGTATTGGTGGCATACTTGTTAAAAATCAGGTTTTTTCCCTACAGTGTTGCTACAGCTAGTCTTTATTAACAATTACACTTCACTGTGAACAAAACCAATAGAACAAAAATTTAAGAACATATGGAGTGCCTCTAGATTCATTGCAAATTCAGACAATGCTCAGAACAAAAAAACTGGTAATACAAAAGTTGAATGACATTGAGTGTCATTCCAAACTCAATTCCCTCTCTTGAGCCCTGGAGGCCACGCAGACATGGGGTCCTGGGAATCTGCAAAAGTGTCTTCCTCTAGCTCAGTGTTTCTCAACCTTGGCAACTTGAAGAGGTATGGACTTCAACTCCCAGAATTCCCCAGCCAGCACAGCTGGCTGTGGAATTCTGGGAGTTGAAGTCCATACCTCTTCAAGTTGCCAAGGTTGAGAAAAACTGCTCTAGCTTGAGAAGAGTCTTTTCAGGGCCAGCAACAACCTCCTCCCATCCACATCGTTATTTGTCAGCAATGCCAACTTTCCTGTTTCAGCACTTTTGACTGGTGATTCCAGGGAAATTGATCAATCTAACATGTCCTTTACTACTGCAACTATTACAGGTAGTCCTCAATTTACAACTGTTCATTTAGTGACCGTTCAGAGTTCAACGGCACTGAAAAAAGTGAATTTTTCATAGTTACAACCTTTGTAGCATCCCCATGAACATGTGATCAAAATTCAGATGCTTGGCAACTGGTTCATACTTATGACCATTGCTATGTCCCAAGGTCATCTGATCACCTTTTGTAACCTGTTGACAAGCAAAGTCAATGGGGAAGCCAAATTCACTTAACCCGGTTACTAACTTATCAATTGCAGGGATTCACTTAACAACTGTGGTAAGAAAATTCATAAGATGGGGCAAAACTCACTTAACAAATGTTTCACTTAACAACAGAAATTTTGGTCATAAGTCAAGGATTACCTATATAAGGCTCTTCAATAGGGCATTAGAGTTTCCCCTTTTATTAAATTTCCCTGGTAGAACAGATGGATTGTATACCATCTTTTTAGCCTCAAATCTTGAAGCCACTAACTGATAACTGCATTTATTGTGGCAGCAGTAGTTAACATCAAACTATATGTTGTTCAAGAATACTCTGTCAATAAGGATTGTCAGAAATCTGGCCAGAGATCATAGCCAGGAGAGAAAAAAAACTGAATTACTATTACTATTATCTCATACTCAAAAAATGCTCATGTACCCAGAGAAAGAATTTGTTTGTGAAAAACTGAACTCAGTAAGAATAACCTATGCAAATTTACAGTAAACCCTACTGAATTGAATGGTGGTTACCCATACATTAGTTTGGATATTCCTATAAAGATAGTCTTAATAAGTGAACCTCTCATATATAGAAATAACTATTTTGAAATAATTTCCCAAGTAGTATTTTATATAAGTACTTTAGGTAACTTCTGTATTAATAAACTAATATAGCCTGCTCCAAACTAGATGCCTTCCAGATGTTTGGATTTAAAATCCAAGAATTTTTAGCAATGGCCATAGTTCTTGGAAGTGCCCAGAATTGGGGAAGACAAAAATAATAATGAAAGAACATTTTTCAAGAAAATGGTATTTATATAAATATACATATAGTTTATCAAACTGCTAATGATCCTATTTTAATTTTGAAAAATAGGACTTTTGTAGATGATTCAGAGAATTGGCTCTATGTATTTATTTCGGCTTTAAAATAACATGCAAACTTCATATTCATTTATCATTATTATTGGGAAAATGTTTTCTTTGCATCCCTATAATGCAAAGAATCATATTTTTTTATTATGCTCTGTAGAAATTCATACTAATGTAAGAAGTCAATCAGTTCCATTCATGTGATTAATTCTGAACATCAGAGATCAAACTAAATCTATGTTTAAGAAGAATTTCTGTGATTTAATATATTAATCTGTATCTGCAGAAGTATTTTATCTTATTTTCTTTCTTTTGTTAGGATCTAAATGCTGTAGCATTCAGATTTAAAGACAAAGAAAGACCAAGAGGTTATACATCAAAACTTGCAGGGATGCTTCATGTAAGTTGCAACTTGTACTATAGAGCTATTTATGTTAGTATATAGCTTAGACTATTGTATTTAATATTGTATCATTTCTTAACATTTCTGGGACTTTTGAGAAAAAGTTATTGGTAACAATGGCACTTGTAAGCACAGCTCTGCTTTTGTACCTGAAGCAGACAAAGGTTGCTAAGATTGGCAGCAGGAGAGATGATAGGGCTGCCTGTTACTTTGAATGTTTATCCAACTTTCTGCAGGATTCAGGGCTCCAATAATAAAAGCAGGATCAATGACTGCATGGAGTGTTGTATTTGGATTCTCTGAGTGTATATTTTAAAGTTGAGGTGAGAGAGAGAGAAAGAGCCAGTGGCAATACCTATTACTTCATATGACTTGAACCCTCTCTTTGTTCAGATAAATGCATTACTAAATTAGGGTTGCTATTATAAAGAGTGGTAGTTGTTGATGGCACAGTGCCCAATGTCCTCATGCGGAGGGTCATGAAATAAGATTGAGAGAACTGGCTTGCTTGTTGTTGAACAATTTTACAATGTTCCTTTTCCAAATAGAGGTGATTTGATTATACGTTTACCTGCTTAATAAATTAAATTAAGTAGCATAGTGTTACTGTGAAGTGAAATATTTGTTGCTTAAACAGTTTGATGTTAAAAGGTTTCATTTTTTCATTGTTCTTTGCATTATGTATTGGGTTTTACATAATTTTAGTACTCTCAAGGTGAGTCTAATGCCTGAATGTCTAGAGCAGGGCTTTTCAACTGGTGGCACGCGTACCACCTGTGGTACTTTGCCACATGGCAGATGGTACGCGACCATTCTAGAGAAGTATAGCAGGGGAGGGGAATGAGCTGAAGCGACCCAAGCCTGAGGGAGAGGCAGTTGCAGCTGCAGCTGCAGGACTGTCTGGGCTCGGCAGAAGCCCCAGAAGCCGGCAGGCACTTCTGGAAGCAGTGCGGAGCTGGAGGTGAACTGAAGAAAAACGGGGGGGGGGGGAAGGAGAGGATAGGATATAAAAGGAGGTGGTTTTGGCATGAAAGGGAAAAAAAGGACAACAGGGAAAGAGAAAGGGATGGAGAAGAAGCTGTGGAAGGAGAACTCAGCAGGCAGGGAGGAAACGGACAGAGAAGAAGCAACAGCTGTTGCTGGAAGAAAAGGTTCCTGGTTCGTTTTCTCCAGCCAGGAGAATGCAGTCAGTGCTGATGAAATGAAAAGCCGGGAGATGAGCATGTCAGAAAGGCTGGTTTATTTAGTTCTGGATCATCTGGCAGCTTGATTGGGTTACCATAAGGATTTTTGTTCAGTTTTTACAGCGTTTTGTAATTCAGAGGCTCAGTTTGTGTGCTTTCACTGATAGGCTTGTAAAGCAAATAATAAAGTGGCAAAGGAAATGTTAGTGCAAACATACACACAGAGTAAGAGAAAACAAATCCCCAAAGTCCAGCAAATTTGCCTTTCAGAAATTTCAAATCCAAACCAGCCAGCATAAGAATGGTCAAACATTGCAGCAGGTTCATCAGCTGGTTCGGGTCCAGAGTCAAAGCCATTGGATTTCAAGTCGGGAATCAAGACTGAGTAAATTAATGGTTGTTATCGATAGAGAGACTTGAGCTCGCTGCTCTTCTTAAGAGTTACTATGTAATTGCAGAGATATCCTCTAGGAGTCAGCATTTACTTCTTTTTATTCAATGTCAAGACTATATTAGAATGGATGTTTTTCCTTCTGATATATTAATAGATCTAAATGGCACCAATTCCTTGTTGAACTGCTATTGAGGACTTTTAAAATCTTTTCCAGTCTAAACTAAAAGTGTAACATTTTATTTTAGTACTATCCTATTGAAGAGGTTCTTGCTGCTGAATATTTACTTGAAGAATTTAGGCCAGATTTAATAGAAATGGTATTGGACAAACTGAAACCTGAAAATGTCCGGTAAGATCTATTGCCATATTCTGATGTATTATTATGATTTATAAATGGTACATTGTGATGCTTATTGAAAGATAAAAATTATATTTCATCCCCAAATAACAAAGATTAGCAAATAGATTCTAAAGTATTCTGAAGTTTCCCTCATTTTAGAATGTCTTTAGATGTCTTTGTAAAATAGTTCCTGAAGTTTCCCTCATTTTAGAATGTCTTTAGATGTCTTTGTAAAGACATTGCATGGAGTAATAAATTAGCAACATTCAGTAGTAATTGTTATATTGTAATGAGAATTATGTGTTTTTCAAATATGATTTTAGGAAGGGATTATCATTCAGCTTTAATAATAGGGCTGTATGATGCTGCTAAAACATCAGTGACCACAAGTGCCTGTCAACTGGCAAGAACTTCTGGAAGCAGATATAACTGCTTTAATAAATTGCCTACAGGTGCTGCATTTCCACTCCTGCAGGCTCTGAAGCACCTTTTCAGAACTGAATCCAAAACATTGCATTGCCTTTCTAAATAAATTCATCACTGTTTGTGCATTTATGGAGAGGTAATTCAACCTAGTAGTTATAGCAGTGGAATAGGAGTGAAGGTGATCTGAATACTAGTCTTAGCTGAGGCATGGAAGCCAGCTGGCTCTCTCTCTCTCAGCCATAGAGAAAAGGCAAAAGCAAACCATATCCAAAAACATTGCCAAGAAAACTGCACAGACTTATCTAGGTAGCCGGCAGGAGTCAAAACTGACTCAAAGGCATCCCTCCCACCTTCCGCATAATACTAATTTGCATTCAGTCATAATGCTTTCACTGTTACGTATGATTAGGAGGTGTGTCTGAATAAACCCTGAGAAGACTCAAAATAAGCAGCACCTGCCTCCCTCTTTTATGAATCTGCTTTCTTGTTTTTGTTATGATTAGTGTTTGCCTGCCAAGTCATAACCGGAGAACATAATTGGAAGTCAATTTCTGATTTGCTGTGTGTGTGTGTGTGTGTGTGTGTGTGTGTGTGTGTGTGTGTGTGTGTTAATTTCTTGACTTGGAAATCTGAAAGAAAAAAGCTTTGCTTTTAAGTAGGAAAACAAAAAGTAGAACTCAACAGGAAAAGGGGAAAATATAACTCATTCTCTTGCATTCATTTATTCATTGAACTTGTATCTGATGTTACTTCAGCTCAGGGTGGTGTACATAGTGTTCCTTTCTTCTATTTTTCCTCACAAGAACAAATCTTGAGGTAGATTGGGTTGGAAGAGAGCCCCAAAGTTACCCCATGAGCAATTGTTCAATTTAGTATCTGTTTAATTCTGCACATTATTTTAAGATTTAATTTGTATTTAATGTTCCAATTGATAAGTATTTTGTCCATCCAAGTGTCTTATATTTTTCCAATTAGGAACTATTTTGTCTCTGAAATGCAGAACAGTGTTGATAGTAAATAATTTCTCTTGCATGTAATGTGCTGCACAGTTACTACTCTTGATAATTGCCTGTATATTTTAACTGGAAAAGAAAAATGGAATCTCCTTATAACAGAAGGGCCTCATTTTACTTGGTGAGATACTTACTTACTAAAATAGTTTGGAATATGGCAGAGAGAGATTCTACTATGGCTGTCCTGAAGCTCTTTTTTCAAGTATTTATTTAAAATGAATGGAAAGTGAATTGAATCTTGAATGTTACATAAGCTTATATCAACGATAAAATTCAGAAATCATCCTTTAATTTAAGCCAACTCCCAGATATTTTTAGGGGCAGGAAAGGATCTTTATAGAGTTGGAAGTATTCTCAGAATCCCTCTAGTCCAATCCCCTCCTTGGTGCAGTTTTTTTTGTCTTAGTCTTCTCTCTTTTACATGAATTCTAATATTGTTCCTCCTAGCAGATTTTAATCTAAGAAAGTAGAATTTCAGGCTATAGTTATAGCTTAGGGATCTTATTCTGTTTTTACAATTCAATTCAGATATGAAATTATGAATTGTTTTTCCTTTTAGTTGACAAAAAACTGTAAGTCTCTACTAAATGCTCTAGAACAGGGGTGTCAAGCTCGCAACATCACGTGATGTGTCACGACGTATCGTGACTTTTTTCCATTGCCGGCAATGGGGTGGGCACGGTTTCAGCATGACGCATCTGGCAGTTTGACACCTCTGCTCTAGAACAGTGGTTCTTATACTGGGGGTTATTACCCCCAAGAAGTAATTTGGGTATATCTGGGGTTATTAGAGCAAGTTGTAATTACTTATTGGTGGGTCAAGGATCCAATATACTGTTGTATAAAACAACAGAGTGGGTTTTTCGTGAGGGTGATGATATGTCTGAAACTGGGAAAAGGAACAGTTGGGTCAGTGTACGAGCCACTGTTCTATTATAATTAAATTTGCTCACTCAAATATCAGAGTATTAATATAACAATATGAATTCACATAATTCTTTTAATATGAATATGAGCAGACCATGTTTCTACAGGAATATTAAAGTGTCCTAATGTAAATTTCATTGTGATAAAGCAGAATTATTTGTTTCGAAGATAGAAAATTTTGATCATCAGGTATAGTTACATATATTTTTATTTTGTTTTTAGGGTTGCAATTGTCTCTAAGACATTTGAAGGAAAAACTGATAAAAAAGAACGGTGGTATGGAACCCAGTACAAGCAAGAAAATATTTCTGATGAAGTCATTAAGGTATGCTAAGAGCACTGATAGCATCTTGTTCATGGCAACAGGCCCAAATATGCATTTAAAAAAATATTTAGCCTGCTGCAAAGGAAACTATTTTGAATATAAATATTAGCTATTATTTGTATATGTGCAATGCATAATTTGAAGTTTTTCTCTATCAACTTTATCTAGTTTTATTGCATTATGTCAATCTTGTTGGTCTGTATATTTATTTGTGTTTCTTTCCTTTCTTTAAAAATTAGATATTTGGAATATAAAAATTATTTATTTTCTTAAACTGGTCTATCAAAAATCATACTTGCTTATTTTGATCTTATGTATTGCAGTGCAAAGAACTGAAAGTACCTTGCTTTTATACAATAAATGCTAAGTGGGTAATGCAAGCCCAAACACCAACATGGATTTAAAGTCACCGTTTAAATAATAGATAGAATTGTAGTGGAATTTGTACTTTCAGTTCTTTGCATTGGAGTACATATATATATATAACATTTTTTTAAACATACACATTTTCAAGTGAAATCTTTAGAAAAATGTTCCTGAGCAGATGTTTAGAAGTGAAATGGGTGGCTGGCTGAATTCAATTGCTCTTCTCCAATCGTAAAACTCTGTTTTATGATTTTATTAAAGAAAATTATTTGCATGCAAGTCTGGAGCCAGTTTAGTTTAGTGTTTAAGGCACCAGGATAGAAAGCAGGAAACTGAGTTCAAGTCCTACCTTAGCTATGAATACCAGCTGGATGACTTTGGGCCGGTAACTCTCAGTCCAATAAATCTCACAGGATTGTTCTTGTAGGGAAAATAGGAGGATGAAACTGTGTTGGATGCAGTATATTCACCGCTTGAGTTATTTATAAAAATAATAAAGGTGGAATACAAATAAAATATAAATTTCTATATGGTTAATGTCTTTAACTACATAAAAGAATTTGTGTAATTGAAGCTGACAAAGGACAGCTATTTTAATGGTAATATTTGTATGGAACAGTCTAGTAGCCCAACATGGTAGTTATATATGGAAACAGTCTTCATCTTATACATGTCATATTCTGCATTGATTACAAAGAAAATCAAAACAATGGACTGTGGATGGTAACAATCATATTTGAAATATTGTAGTATGTTACTAATCATTTTTAATTTCAGTTAAATTTTAAGGAACACAAATATCTAAAGGTGATATTTAGAAAGCCTTCATTGCAATTTCCTTTTTAAAAATACTCCTCTTATTTATGTTTTTTTTACACAGAAATGGCAAAATGCTGACCTTAATGGGAAATTCAAGCTTCCAATGAAAAATGAATTTATTCCTACTAACTTTGAAATTGTATCTTTGGAGAAGGATACACCACAGTACCCAACTCTAATTAAGGTATATATGGCTTCCGTAGTTAATAATAGTGAATGTGGTTTTACACTAGAGCTTTACAGGCTAGTTCTGAAGTGAATCATCAGCTTCATTCATATTCATTACATTTTTTAAGTTGAATTTCTAATGTAATTTTGAAATTTAGTTCCAGATCAAATTGAACAATCCTGTTATACACTGCAGACAGTTTGGTCTAGTGATAATGGTACTGAAATAGGAGCAGGGAACTCTGAGTTCTATTGCTGCCTTAGTCATGAAGTCCATTTGGGCCTGTCATTGCTTCTCAGCCCCAAGAGGTAGTGACCAACCATTTCTGAAAATCTTCCCCCAAATCTTCAGGGATTTGTCAATGTAATTGCCAGGAGTCTGACTCCAAAGGTTACATACATAACTGATATACATATACATGCATATATAAAATCTATCTCTGTGCCTGTGTGTAAATCTATCTCTGTGCCTGTGTGTACATCTATCTTTCTGTATCTATGGGTTGTGTGTCTTTTCATGCTTGTAAAACAAATGTATGTTTTCAGAAACTTTTAAAAATATGTTTTTTTTTAAATTTAAAAGTAAGCCTTCCATAATGCTACTTGAATCCATACTGAAATTATTTGGTGAAAGGATCAATCTAACAACGTTTTGAAAGAAAAAGAGGCATCTTAATTTTTTATACAGTAGTTGGGTTTAAAATGGTATGCTATAAATGGGCATTATATTAAGTGGTATTTGGCTGACCTTTTAGTGTTAATAAATATTCCATTTTAAATAGTGCTACATATAAAGTTCAAATGATAAGGAGTGTGTAAAATTCCCTTTTTAAATAACAATTTATCTCAATATAATGTGAATCAAATATTTAGTAAATAAACTCTAACCTTACCTAAGATTCACTTATCGTTATTCCAACTAGTCTTCCTTCTCTCTCTGTTTTCCTTCTCAAAATTATGGTTGGTAGAACAATCATATTCCATACTGTTCCTGTAGATCTTAAGATCTGACTTTTTTTCTATGTAGATACAAATATATGGACAAATGTAATCATACGTGCAGGAATATTTACTAGTTGGACATATAAGGCACTCCAATAAAAAAAATATCTTGAATTGCCACTAGCAATAATTCACATACATACATTCTCCTGCAGGGAGGAAAAAGTTCATCTATTAAACCCTGAAAAAACCAGGACATTTTGTCTTTTTGAAAATTCAGGACCATGAGTGCTGATTTATCTCTGGAGAAATGCTGTTCCAGAGACAGAATAGCTGCTGAGGAGTCCTAGTCCATTGAATTTGAAGATGTCATTCCATAAGAGAAGGACCTAGAGACAGTCCTCTCTTTCTGACCTTAGTGGATGGGCATAAATCATTGAGAGTAAGGTATTACATGAATGAACCAGTTAATGCACATAGCTGCTTTTGCTTGTGCATTCTGAATGTTCTGAGTAGTCTTCAAGGGCTTCACCTGATAACAGTACATTGCTATAATCTACTACAAAGAAAGGGATACTGATAAATTCCTCCATATTCTCATTAATACCTTTGTTCTGTAACATCATGCATTAAAATTGGGTAGTATGAGAAAAGGCGTTTTACTGAGACTTATTGGACTTATTTACATTAGGTTATCTAGAGTGAGCTCTGTCTATTTAACAAATATTAAACATTAAAATAATGAAAATAGAGGCTTTTAATGGAAAATGTTCTTTTTCTTAAATGCAGGATACTGCTATGTGCAAACTGTGGTTCAAGCAAGATGACAAATTTTTCCTTCCTAAAGCTTGTCTCAACTTTGAATTTTTCAGGTAGGCAAACATGTTTATGTTTATATTTGTTCATATTAAATATGGTAAATTATATATATTTATTTAGTAAGTAGATTTTATGTAACTTGGTACACCTATGGAATTGGTTTCTTTGTATAACCAAAATTGCCTATCCATACCTTCTGCCTCAAACCAGCATTTGATATGTGCAGCCTTGGCCTAATTTTGTGCAGTGTTTCCCAGAGGATGAAAACATGATCCAGGAGCTTTTACTTGAAAGCAGAGGTCTGAATTCAGACCTCTCTATTCTGCTCTCCTTTCCCCTTGAAACAAATCACAGTAAGTAGTACCTAGATGGAGCTTTTCTACATATGAAAAATTCATCTTGGATATGTGCACTTGAACTTGCTAGATATCTTTTGTTAGATTTCTTAACAACAGGACAGATCTGTAGCCATTGTGATTGCTGCCTTCATTTGATTTGTTGTTAGAATTTTTTCATCCTCAGAGATTATTCAGTAGATTTTTTCAAGGGATCTTAATTAATTACTGAAGAATGACATCTTGATTGACCTTATTATGCAAATGTAAGAACATTAATTTACAAATTAATGGTGTAAGAATTTATTATCATGTTAGCAGTTCTTTTTCCAGAAGAGTAATGCTTCCATCTTTCACATACATACATACATACATACATACATACATACATACACACACACACACACACATACACACATACACATATATTTATTAAAGAGAAATAATATGAAGCTGGTGGATTTGTCAGAGTATTGGAATAATTAATAATTCCAGTTGGTTTATGACTGGTGCTGGTGCATAGAGGGGAGGAATAGTGTAGAAATTCTAACTTACATTGCCCACCCCAATATATAAATTGAAACACAATTAAATACTTACACTTTTTCTTGATCTTTTCTGCTAAACTGTTTACATTAGGGAAAAGTTTACATAAAATGCGTTCCAGGTGGGAAAACATTTTGCGATAGAAAAAATTGCATACAACAAATGCACATATTAAAAAGATAACTTGACAAAAATCAGTAAAATAATGTTGGAAAAATGAACAAAGTTGAGCTTTAGATTTGAGCAATCATTTTTCAGAGAGAAGAAAATCTATTTTTGTGTTGTATTATATAGCCTTTGGAAATAGGAGATTTTGTGGTACTTCAAAAATTGCATGTTGCTTGTAAGAAAATTGCTTGTTTGCTGGTAGAAAATAATACAATATTTAGAAAGTCTCTTTGAACGTCCAGTTCCTCCTGTGTATTTGCATTGTCTACTTTTTTTGAAATTACCTCCTTCCAATGAACCTTGTTGTATCTCCTTGCTGGGTATGCTTGAATTGTTTTATAATTCCCAACACATAGATGTAGCAAACCAATCTTCTAATACATTGCCTCATTTATATAGTGATTGAATACTGTGTTCAGAATTTAGTAATATAAGCTTATCTTGTCTCCCAGGAAAACTTAGAAAAATTATTAAGTTTCAAAAAAAGTTGATATTGCCCATTTTTATGACCTTTGCTTTTGAAGAAATATAGAAAAGAAATCTGGATGATTTAACATCCTGAAATGGTGTTTTCTGTATTATAGAATATTGTTTTTCTAATGGGACATAAAACAGAAATAGAAACTATTCCTTAAACTGAGAGTTAGTTTTTGCTGAGTAGTCTTTTTATTGTTTCCAACATTTATGGTTTTACAAAAGGAAGAAAAATGTGAAGATTATGAGAACCTCAGTAGTTTAAATGAGAATAGACTAGATAAGAAAGATGGAATTGGACTGAGGAGTAGCTTATGTAAAAGTGAATGCATGTATTTGTATATTTATACAGTATAATCAATTTGTCCACAATATCTGGCAACCCACTCACATTTATAGCTGCTTGCAATGTCCTATGGCAGTGGTGGCGAACCTATGGCACGCGTGCCAGAGGCGGCACTCAGAGCCCTCTCTGTGGGCACGCGCACCATGCCCTGGAGATGGCAACTGTCCCTCTTCAACCAGCCACCTGCTAACTCGCCGAGGTCCCACATGGCCAGATACATCCCAGCATGGCTGGTTTCCCTCCCCCCCATCTCTCCCTCACATGCTCTCTTTTTCCCGGGCACGACCCACTGCATCGCCTCCTCAGCTGTTGGCCGGCTGTCCAGCTCAGAGGCGGCTTCTCTGAACTGCTGGGGGCAGGCTGCGGAGCCCCAGAGTGCGCCGGCAGCCTGTAGTTGCTGACAGACACTATCAACCTCTATGCGCTTGCTGGCCTCTGTGTGCGGGGGCCGATGATGTCAGGCAGCAGCCACCCCGGTCCCTGCCTCACCTTGCCCTGTGACAATGGCACCTCCGCCCTGCCTTGCCTTGCCTCACCCCTCAGGATGAGCCTCCTGCCCACCGCCCCATCTGCCAGAGACTCCCTGGATCTCCCCCAAACCTGCCCAGCCCCCACAGGCATCCCTCCCCACGAGCAACATCGAGGTGGCCACACCCACCCAGTCTGCCATGACCACAGCCACGCCCATCCAGTGGGCCATGCCCACCTGGCACCCGGCGATAAATAAGTGGGTTTTGGGTTGCAGTTTGGGCACTCGGTCTCTAAAAGGTTCGCCATCACTGTCCTATGGTCAGGCAACCTGGCTTGCAACTTTTTTGCCAGTTTCCTGTGTTTTTTGCCATTTTGGCAAAAAACACCCATTCAGGAGAATGAGTTTGCACTTATGATTACATGATTCGCTTATGACTGCTGTAAAAATGATCATAAAATTGAGTCCGATCGTGTGGATGCTTTGACTTACAGCAATCACAACTTACCACCAAAATTCTGGTTCCAATTGTGGTTATAAGTCATGATTTCTATGTGAACTGTAGAGCAGGAATGGGTAGGATGAAAAATGTATTAAAAGATGTGATGGTTGCAGCTTTAACTGGAACGTGAACAAAGAATATCATTGCTTAATACAGGTAATTGTTACTTACAACCATTAGTTTAATGACAGTTCAAAGTTACGATGGCCTCGAAAAATTGATTTACAAGCTATCTTCGCACTTACAACTGTTGCACTACCCATAGTCATAGGATTGCAATTTAGGCACTTGGGAACCACTTCACATTTACAATCAGTTGCAGCATCCTGCAGTCACATAGTTACAATTTGCAATCTTCCCAGCTGATTTCCGATGGAAAATGTCAATTGGGGAAGCTGGCTTGCTTAATGACCACTTCATTTGTTTATATCCTGCCTTTAAATAATTCAAGGTAACAAACATATCCATTACACCTTCCTCTTCTTATTTTCCCCACAACAACAACAACCCTATTAGGGGAGTTAAGTTAAGAGAGAGTGACTGCCCCCTAGAGCCGGACACGACTGGGCAGAGCAAATCTTTACCTAATTAGTTATAATACAGATTTAGTAAATGTGAATAGCGTGTGATCACAATAAATTATTCAAAAACCTAGGGATTCTTCTTCTGGATTAGAATGCTTGTCTAGTCCAATTTCCAAATGTGTATAGATAAAAAGAATGCTTACCAAAACAACGATCAGATAAAGGAGTCGGAGTCTGGGCCAAGAAAGTAATTTGAGAAAATGTCTCAGACAAGCCCCTCCTTGTTCCACACTGGCATAAAGTGATGAAGGGAGAAGCACATTCAGACCTGCAAGATTCTTTCTCTATCCCTGTTACAATAAAGGCATTGGTTTCTTAGTCTGGACTACCCTAGGGGTGACAGTTGAGGATAAGTGTTTAATTGAGTGCATGTTCTGTCATTTACCTGGTGCATAATAGCAGTAAGTTTGAGAAACACAGCTGTAACACTCTTCAAACTTTTCTGAAAGTAAGCACAAGAGGATTAGCTTTTATTAAACGTAGATAGAATAGTTTGTCCATTAGACTTTATGAGGGAGGCAATGATTTTCAGGGCATTTCCATTTTTCTTAAAAATAAAAATAGATAAATGATTTGAATGTTAAAAAATGTTAAAATGTTACAACATTTTAAATTTGAAGCATTACCAGCCCTCAGTTATGAAATTGTGCATCTTGTTTCTTTTATTTTTTTTATAACAATTTCAATATAATAACTTTGTATTCTCTTAACTGCTACATATGCAGATAAGAAGTAGAAATTAGACTTTCCTGTACAATAAACTGCCTCATTTCACATCAAGTTGGTGGTATTTAGAAGTATTGTTGCTTGAAACATGACTTGAGTCTTTGAGTTGTCTTTATCATAATACTATCTGTGCAGATTATCTTATCTCCCTGGATATTGCAAAACTATATTAGAAACTTTTTAGGTACTATAGATGAACAAAAAAAACATATCTTGTATGCTTAAAATAGAAGATGATTGCATTTTAGTAATAAAATTCCACAAGTATTTTTCTTATACTCTGAATCCAGTTCACTGAGGTTTTATTGATATGATATATAAATATGTATTTATATTTCCTTCTGCAAAAAGAACAACCAATTAAAAAACAGCAATTAAATAATGAGCTGCTAAAGTAGCTTTTAAAAGCTAGATTTAGAAAAGCAGATTAATAACTTTTGTAAAATTTGCAAAATGTTGGTAATTGTAACATTTAAATTAAGTGCACACATAAAAATCAATATATATATACACACACACTTTTGCAAAAGCCTCCTAGAGTTGCTTCAAACACTTACCGTGTTTCCTCAAAAATAAGAACTGGTCTTATTTTTTTTTTTGCCTCCAAAAGAGGCATTAGGTTTTATTTTTGGGGGGGGGACCCTCTTAGCTCAGGACTGTTGCGGCCATGCCTCCCACGCCCTGACACCTGTTGTGCCGCTGCCCGACTTCTTCTGCAGCTGCTTGTGACTGCTCGCAACAGGAGGCCACGTGTCACGTCACCCTGGTGCCACCACTTGCAGCAGGCCACATGACACATTGTGCTTGGCGTGCATGAGCAGCGGTACCGGCACAAGGCGCCATGTGGCGTCCTGCCATGAGTGGAAGCATCAGCGCAACGTGCCACATGACATACTGCTGTGAGTGGCAGCACTGGCGCCATGTGCCACGTGGCCTCCCACAAGTGGCTGCCAGCAACCAGAAGGAGTGGGCCAGTGGCCATGCAGGCTCCTGATGGACAGGGCTGGTGGTTCCGCTGCCGCAATACGAGGAATATGTTGAGGCATGGGAGTCCTGGCTGCAGGGGTCCTGATGTAAGCGGGTGCGAGGCACGCGAGACAGCTCCACCCCCACCCCTGCCCTAGCATGATTTTTATGCGTGCACCTCGCCCCACCTCATACAACCAGACGGTGGGAGAATGGGCGGGATCTTAACTAGGGCTTACATTAAGTGCACACGTAAAAATCAAGGCTAGGGCTTATTTTCGGGATAGGTCTTATTTTTGGGAAACACGGTAGATGGGTGGTATATAAATTTAATAAATACATAAATCATAACTTAAAATGCTGTCCACAGTTTGGTACTTTTGCATTTAAAGCTATTTCATACACGCCCAGCAAATTAGTCTTTGAAGTAAGATCGTAATAATAAGACAGATATAAAATGAGACTTTTAATGTGTTTTTTTTTAGATTTTAATTCTTTTTATTTAAGAACCAAAAAAATAGATTCTCATAATCATATATGCTAAAGATGACATGTCAACAAGGCTAGAATTATGGAAGTTGTAACATATTAATAGGAAACACTGCCATAATTGGAATAAACAAAACCCAGTACTTCTATTGTATACAGTTGCACAGCAGCTAGCCCAGTCCTCCAAGAGTGCCAACCTTTTATGTCTTTTCAAGCCATCTTCAACTATTATTGTAGAATTAATCCAACTTAATGAAGCCGATGTCCTTGGCGTACTGGCGGAAGCACTGGCGACACATGTTGAGGCCGTACTTGCGGATCAGTCCATGCCGGTTGGAGCAGACGCGGCAGGAGCGCGAGCCCTGCCCGAACTTCCTGGGGTGGCTCCAGTAGAGTTGCTGGTGGCCCATGGCCAGACTTTTAATGTGTTTATCACAAGCATGAACTTAGAAAAATTCAGCACATTTGCAGACCATCCTAACAAATTAGTTCATTGGTTCACAAAAAATTGGAACACAAAACTGCACAACACCAATCATTTCTTACATGGGAGAGATCTTAAACCATTCAGGAATTGAACCTTTGAAGTCAGATCAACAGTTTGATTTGAGATCGGATGAATAATTAGCTCATAGTGCATCTCTTTCAACATTGCAACAGGGATATTTCAAAGGAAGTACAGTTGTTTTTGGAACAGATTCAATTTTCTATTCTAAGTACTTGACCAGCGTCACCTCCATCTTGTCTGTTTATAATCTCGGACTGTTTCAGCCACATTCAAGTTCAGGGATATCATTTGCTTCCTTAGTATTGAATGACAAAAAGCCGTAGAGTCTCATTGCTCTATTAGTGATTCTGTTTTCCAAAATCTAAAATGACCTATTTTAATTGTTTCATATAGTTAATAAAAAGCGTAGAAAATAAAACAGATATTGTAGTTTCAAATAAGTATTTAACAAACAACATCTTTTGGATATGACCAAACTCAGTATATTACAAAAAATAGCAAAAAAACACACCATGATCAATGGTAGTAAAAACATTATTAGCTGAAAGTCTAATCTGAAATGTGTTCAGAACAGATGAAAGTCCAGTGTCACCTTTATACATCTAGAGTAGCAATGCTACCAATACTCCATTTTTATATTTTTATATTCATGTGTTGTCTTGATGGTACTCATAACAGGAAGTATCAACTTTTTTTTAACATTGTACCTTGAGATCCAGTATTGAGGTCTATAGAATTGGTATTATTTATATCACATACTTACTTTTAACGTTTTCTTCCAGCCCATTTGCTTACGTGGATCCCTTACATTGTAACATGGCCTATTTGTACCTTGAACTACTCAAAGACTCCCTCAACGAGTATGCATATGCAGCAGAACTAGCTGACTTGAACTATGCTCTCCAAAATACCATCTATGGGATGTATGTAAGTACCAACATCAAGAAGACTCTTAAGAGTCTTAAATTTACTTCCATGAATCAAGAAACAATTTGATTTGCTGGAAGCATTTTTTAAAATGATTTTCCCAATTGAAGATCTACCGGTAATTTTAAAGTTCCCTTTTCAACCTTGATTTCTAATTTCTCATAATTTGAATTTTACATGAAATATTCTCAGTCTTCAAGATTCCCATTCATATTCAGATTTTTCATTTCATTTTATATCATTCGTTAAAATAATGAAATTAAATGAAATTTAGCCCAAATTGGAGTTCAGATTCTACTTCTTTCTTCCAGAAGTTAAATCATTAATCTTAATGAGGAAACAAAATCCTTATTTTACATTAGTATTTCATTCCCAGAAATATTGGTTACGAGGCTGCATATACATACTCTTCAGTCATGTTTCTTCATCCATTATCATGTCACAAAGTATCAAAGCATCCTTTTTTCTTTTTGTTAGTCGCTACCTTTATGTTGACCCTCTCCATTGCAACATGACATACCTGTTAATGAGGTTGTTGAAGGATGATTTAAAAGAGTATACATATGCAGCACGCCTCTCAGGTTTGAGCTATTTCATTGCATCAGGAATGAATGCAATACTTGTAAGTAAGATGGAACAGAAAGAAGTGAGATGGGTTGAGAGCTATGCACTTGGAAAATGCTTGCTTTTTCAATATTTTTTTGCATAACAGTTACCAGTTCTGTGTTCTCTTGCATCTCTCTCTTGCCTGAAAGTGTCTGGACAGAGACGCTTCATTTAGCTATGATTGGAGTGCTTTTTGTGACCATATAGTGCTTTGTAATACATTTCTTTATGCATCTCTATGTATTTAATATCCTGGAAAGTATTACTTCGACTTTTTTTAAACTATTAGTCTTTTAGATACTTTACACTAAAAATAAATAAGAGTGTCCTGTGGTGTTAGTCTAATATGTATATTGAGGCATGAACTTTTGCAGGATAGAGTCTACTTTGTTAAACATTGACTGAACTAAATACCACTAACTGCATTATTGGCTATAGAAAAATTGCTTGAGTATTATAAATTGAGTTTATTTGTTGATATAAATATCCGTTTTGTTTAATATTTTAATTGTCACTTTGAAGAGTTTAACATCATTGTTTGAAAAAATGTTTCAAAAGAAGTGTGTATTATATGGAGTATAATATGTTATATAATATGGAGTATTATAAAATTGAGTTAAAAATGGGTTCTTGGTGCTCTTTGACTTTGGTTATTTTCTTGCAGACATTTTATTACCAGGCTAGGAAGCAGTACAAAGAAGAATGAAGTATTCTGGCTGTTTGTAACTTGCCCAGGCACTTTTGCTGGGGTGTGTGATTTTTTCTTTGATGGTTTCTTGCATGTTGGTTGCTAGATGGCATGTGTTGTAGGCTGTTTGTGTCTATTGAAGGCTGATATGGCTGAATACTTAGCTTCTAAGACTACCTTAATTAAAGAATAATCAAGGTGGAAGCATCCACTACAGGTAGGGCAAGATACAATATACTGTATATAAACAGCCAGCAAACCTACCCTCCATTGGTGATGATCCCTAGCCTGACAATGAAATATCTGCAAGGAAAAAAAAACCTCAGCACCAAAAAACTAATAATTTAACTTTGATCTATAATAGTCTCTTGTGTTGTAACTAAAATACAATTTAAACTTGAAATGCTGTACCTGCATCTAAACTATTTTGCTTCAGCAGTGTTACTGTACCTTATATTTTTGGATCACAGACTGGGATCAACAAAGATAAAATTGGTTCTTAATTCATCTACAATGACATTTTAATTTTTCTTGTATCATATTCATTTTAAAAAGTTATATTCAGAGACTGGAGCTTTGTTCTATTAAAAGGTGTACTTCAGTTTTTATGCTTAATTATTTCTGTATTACAATATAACTGGATGTCCAACTTACTAGAAGAATGAAACATCCATTCTTCACTTATTTATGCAAACACTTTTTTATTCAGTGTGAGGAATAATAATAATATAGATTATTAATATAACTTTAAATGACACTGTTAAAACATTTATATGGTTTGCAATTAACCACTTTATGAAGTATTGTAGTTTAGTAATCTCTCATATTCCATGAATTAAATATTCTGATACTCTGCTTTACCTTAATAAGAACTTTGTGAAGTGTTCTATGTTAGCAAACATTGGAGTGGAAAGTTTTTTCCCCATATTTTGCTGTAATAATAAGGTCTTAAAGTACTTCTAGTCTTTATTTGAAGGGAAATAGCTAAGTTTGTTTACTCTTTCCTCAGTCATAGTTTTTTAAAAATACTAAATCCAAAAAACTATAAAGAAGTTTTGTTTTTTTCCCCACTAACCAGTTTGGATACCACCACATTAAACTTTGCTTTATAACATGGTACAATATATTTTCCATTGTAATCTAAACCCCACTATGTTTACGTCGACTAAGTTCAGAGAAAGAGAAATCATTATGTCATATATGTCAGGGATCCCCAACCTGTGGGCCACAGCCCACTAGGGGTTTGCAATGTGCATACCTGCGTGCATCCTCACTTGCGCAAGCAGTGTGCATGTGCTCCATTTGTGTGAGCAGTAAGCGTGCATGCACATTGTTGCGCAAATAGAGCTGCATGGGCACTTGCCAACCGCTTGCACAAAGCATCCCTTCCCCCCCCCCGGCCGGTCCACAAAGCCGGAAATGTTGGGGAACTCTGATATATGTAATATCGTGCAATTAAAGATTAAACTGGATTTCTATTGATTTGAAGGAGAGAATTTCCCCATGCTAGCCGGCACCTATTGCTTTCATTGGAGATCTTGTCTTTTAATGGATGGAAGGCCTAGCTAAAGTATACAACCACTTACATATTTTCTTTGTATAGCTTTCTGTAAAAGGTTATAATGACAAGCAACATATTCTGCTGAAGAAGATTATTGAGAAAATGGCTACCTTCGAGATTGATGAAAAGCGATTCGAAATTATCAAGGAGGCGGTAAGCCATCTGAAAAGTTTGATCCTATTAGAATGGGAAACACCCTATCTGTGAAAAAGGAAAGTCATTAAACATGAATTGTTCTATTTCTGTACCATATAAATGAATATTTGTAGAAGAGGACAGGATGGTGGGCACAATGCATAGCTCTAAAACTTAAGTTAAAATCCTATAAACTTAATCTTTACTAATCAGTGACTAATTTCTGAGTTGATAATATAAACTGTGATCCTTAAGTCTTCAGTTTGCAAAAGGCTAGGAATCCATGGTATGAATAAATGGAATAAAAGGAATCATTCCTTTTATTAGAGATAGATTTTTCACTCATGGCAGTGTCTTCCTGATTCCCCAGCCATATCCTTTTAACCATTGAAAATGTTCTGTGATGCTTTTGTTTTTACTCTGATTCAAAGAGTGGGGACAGACTGGAAAATAATGTATTCGTTTGCTATTCCCCAGACTCCAGCCTATGCAAGTACTTGCTTACAATTATTGAGCCCCAGTATTAAATGCTACCCTTTGTGCAATTTTAAGGTTGTTTTATTAACCAATCTCACTTCCTGATTTCAGGTCTTGATGAAGAGGGAGCCATATTTCCTTCTATATTTTATTTGAATGCTTATTTTGAGTATAAAAGTGATTAAATCAGTGAGGTTTCTTGAAAAGTTACATTATTTTGCCTTGGCTTTTGTTTTACTTCAATAGTATATGCGATCACTCAACAACTTTCGAGCTGAACAGCCACATGAGCATGCAATGTATTACCTTCAGCTCTTAATGACAGAAGTTGCCTGGACCAAAAATGAATTAAAAGAAGCTTTAGATGGTAAGTTTTTGCCAAATCTAAATTGCATGTTTTCTATGTTACTTGGTATGTTAATTTGGTTTACTTTAAAGGAAATATGTCCAAAGGTCCCATGGATTGTTGTGAGGAGCAACAATTATTATGATTGTTGTGAGGAAGTTGAAACAAATATGGAGAAATTTCTGTTTTTCCATGACTGTGACAGTAAATGTATAGAAATCAATTTATGAATTTCAGCAAACAATACAAGCTTTAAAATTAATTTTGGACATTGGTGTCCATTTGTTTTTTAACTATTATTTAAATACAGTTTTTCTTTACAATTGAGATTGAGTATAGCTGTCGTCTTACTATGTATAGGAAAAAAGTATAGAATCTACATGATAAACATGATTTACAAAATGTGACAATCTTTTTTTGCTATCTCATCCCATATTCATCTTAGAATTAGAAGCTTCGTGAGTTAGAGTTTGATGATGAAGAAAGACAGGATTTCCTTACTAAAAGAGTTGATTCCTTTCTTACCTCTACCTAGCTTGTGTTTGGTTTTGGTTTCCTATCTTTCACACTATGCTTGTCTGTAACAGTAGGAAGTTGATTAATCTGGACTACGTGTATAGTTTTCTTCATTTTTATTGATGGCTAATTACTTCAGGTAAATTGTAGTTAGAAGTCAAACATAAAACAGGTTCTATCAAAATATGTGAAATGATTGGATTTAGAATGCATATCCCACTGAATGCATTGCAGTATAGTAAATAGCATCTATAGAAATGTATATAATTGGTTGCACAGTCAGCCAGATGTTTAGACTGGATTTGGCATTTTTCCTTCCCAGGGATCTGGGATAGGAAGATGTTGTTTAATAATATTAAAAATATGGTTTCAGGATGTAAGCTGTTCTAAGTAAAGCTGCCTTTTGTAATTGTATGATGGAGATTTTGTCAATGCTGATTGCGTTCAAGTGGTACTCTAGTTGTTTTAGGATTGCACCATAGGCATATATTAGTATTATATTATTACTATTGTAGTCTGTCTTTGTTTGGTACCACTCAAGGCAGCATACATAATACTCTGGCCTTCTATTTTCACCACAACAACTTAGTCTGATGAGTTGGGCTGAATGAGAATGACTGGACCTAAAATCACCCAGATGACCTTCATGCTTGAGGAAGCAATAGAACCCAGGATCTCTAGATTCCCAGTCTAGTACCTTAACCTCTACACCAAATGTTTGTCTGCATCTGTCTGAAAGAAAGATAGATGCGAAGGTGTATAGGTGTATACCTATATAGGCATGAATGTGCCAGAATTAAAGGTAATAGTTGTAACATGGCATTCTTCAGTTTCGTGCCTTCTAGACACATTAGACCACCATTCTGATAATTCTCAATTCTGGCATTTGATATCCAACATAAATGAGAATACACTAAGATTTGGAAAGATACTTGTAGCATACACATGTGTGCTAAAAATATAATATCAGAATAACCACAATTTTTAATCATTGTTACAAAGATGTCAGGGCAGTTATGTACCTTTCAAGAGTGCTGATGTCAATGCTGTAACATTGGATGTTCCTACTCTGACAACTGATGGAAAATGCAGCCATTTTTACTTTGCTTTTAACATGCTTTTTCTTCCGTTTAGAAATTAAGTGTTGAAGGGCGGATGGGGTGAATGCTTGAGCTCAGCCATAATAACAATGCAACTCCTGGGAACTCAAGGACACAAACTGATAGTTTTGGCAGGCTGAGGAGCTGGGGAGAGAGCCCGTGCTCCTGGCTAATTGGAGAATGTGATTTATGACTGCTTTGTGGGGGTGGGGCTTGCAATTTGTTACTTTGTATCTGGGGGGAGGGAATCTAGCATTGGGTTTAACTATGTAGTGCCTATACTTTGTTTCCTGAATAAAATGTTCTTTAAGGAAGAATTCTTGCTTTGAAGTTCTTTAATGGGTTTCATCCATCGGAACCATGACAGCTATATTCTTTAGTCAGTAACAGCTTGAACTTTGTTTTCGACTATCATGTGAATGACTAATTTTGAAGATGGATGTATGTTTAGTTTGATTGTACTGAAAGTTTCGCCTTTTTCACATTGAAATCTGGGTCAAACCAGATATGAATTCTGAGCAAGGCGTACTGTGGGCACAGAAAGGTAGTGTTGGAACAATTCCCAAATATGAATATTTGTGAAGAAAACACTTGCTATCTTTTGTTGATTATTATATTTTCTTTCTTTCTACTTACAGCTAAGAAATACATTGTATCTTAAGATAGTGCATTTTTTTTCTCTCCTTCAAATGGAAAATGCATTTGATTCTAAATATCTACATATCTATTATAGATGTCACTCTTCCTCGCCTCAAGGCCTTTATTTCACAACTGTTGTCACGGTTACATATTGAAGCACTTCTCCATGGCAATATAACAAAACAGGTTGGTTTTGATGTGCTTTTAGTTCCTTAATGTTCAATATTGCAATATTAATAACAGTAAATTTATTATAAATAAATTGGAGGATAGTTATATAGCATTGGCACAAGGTACATATTTTGTAAAATGGGCATTATATGTTTCATGCTGAGGATAGCTAATTTCAGTTATTTTTGTGTTGCATCTTGCATATGCTTTCATCTTCTAGGACAATTTGGATATGCAATAATTAGCTTTTCTAATAATTCTGCAAAATCCATTCATTTGGATTGATGTTTATTACATTTAATAGGATATATTTCCAAATAAACATATAATTGAGATGTGAGATGTTTCGTCTCTTTTATATTAAAATTGTAATGTGAGACTATTAATTATTTTTCAGATTGATGCTTTATAATCTTAGCATGCATCTTATTATATCATCTTCATTTTATTTTGTAATTTTTTTTAAGTCACCTTGTTTCTCTTATAAATACTTTTGATTCTGAATTCGTTTAGCCATTTTGTTGTTAGCCTTTCTGCATGGTAAAATAAAAGTAATTTTTGTATTAATCTATTTGTATTACACTGTCCCATTCACATGAAGCAAACAGGATCCAGGCATGAGATTTAAGCATACCAGCACCTTAGGGAAATGTTAATTCAAATAAATCTGCACAAATAAATGTGCACAAAACTGGGGGAAACAGAGTAGTATAAAATCATACAGCTCATGCAAATCAAGGAGGGTGAGGCAGGAATACATTGGCAGATTTATCATAAATGAAAAGGATGATAAAAGAACATTTTCATCTTAAATATTAAGAAACTGAGAACAGAATTTAAGCATGCAATGAATGTGTGTAAATGTTTTTAAGCTTTTTATATTTTAAATATAATGCAAATATATGCAGGAATTCTCCCTTTCATTTCTGAATGCTGAGTAGCATTCATATGTATGGTTTCAACTTTCAGACTTAATATTTGCAAGGGAGCATCTCCTTTCTCATTCCTAATTTTGCTGTTGCTGTCAAATCTGTTACCCTTCTACTGTTGTCACAGACAGATGAAGAATGATCATGCAATGAATAAAATCTGCAATGAATTTCTTCTTTTACAGGCTGCATTAGGAATTATGCAAATGGTTGAAGATACACTCATTGAGCATGCTCATACAAAACCTCTGCTTCCCAGCCAGTTAGTAAGATATAGGGAAGTACAGCTGCCTGATAGTAAGTGGTTTAGTTTCTCAGCTATAAAGTGCTTCATTTCAAATTTCATAGTACATAAACTATAGCTTGCAACAAAGGACAATTATGCCTTCAGCTATTTTTGTTTTTCAAAATTTATTTAATTTCAAAGTTGTACTGCAAATTTGTGAGAACACCATAATTTGCTTCCTTGAAAAAAACCCTCAATCATGAGATCTATCTCTTTCACTGTGATATAAGAGGGGAATGATATTGGTACCATCCAGCTTACTTAAACTGATAGTGGTGTATACTGTAGTAGGGAGTCATACTCATTTTGATGATGTGCAGATTGAAACTGCTGTATACCTAGAGCTTCCTTGGCATTTGTTTGGAATGTTTGTGCATTCAATCGATACTACAAAAAATGCTATGGTTGTGTGCTTTTATTCCACACATAAAATACAGGAGCATTTTTTATCTGGCACCTTTAGGTGTGTTTAGACCCCTGATGCTAGAATTGCAATCAGTCTGTCTTTTCCCCTGGGAATTCTAAAACTGATTATATATTTGGAAGATGCCAGGTTGCACAAAACAAATAAACATATTGGGCTTGCATATTTATATTAAATAATATTCTTTAGTGATGTACTTTGCTAGTCTACACTAAATAGAATATAAGATTCTCCTTCAGTCTACATTCCATTTGTTTTGGACACTCCTCATTTTTTCTTAGGAGGATGGTTCGTCTATCAACAGAGGAATGAAGTTCATAATAATTGTGGGATAGAAGTATATTATCAAACAGATATGCAAAGCACTTCGGAGAATATGTTTTTGGAGCTCTTCTGTCAGATTATCTCAGAGCCTTGCTTTAATACTCTGCGCACTAAGGAACAATTAGGTGAGCTTTTGTTTATGTGTGTCTCTGTTAAGGTCACTATATATATTATTATAAGCTAATTTACTGTTGCAATTTTTCATTAAAAATTCTACCTATAGGACAACGGATGATTAAACAACAAATAATTGGTAATCAGCTATTTAGGGCTGTGTGGTTTATTTGCTTAACTGATTTTGCTGCATTTGTGTAACACAGTATCACAAAACACTAAATAAAATGTGATTGTGGTTGGTTCTCAATAAAACTGAAATGGTGTGAAGCAGATTCTTCTGCAATAGATGCCTTTTTAATCAGATTCTCATATTGCCAGATTCATAGTCTTGCAGTAGTTTACATTAAAAAAAATCAGTTCAATGTACAGTAAAATATCCGTGACAACTCAAGGTGACAAACACACTCAGTATTCCTTCCTTTTCCTCCTATTTTCCCCATACAACAATCGTGAGGTGGGTCAGACTAAGAGAGAATGACTGGCCCAAAGACACCCAGCCGGCTTTCATGCATAAGGCAAGACTAGAACTCACAATCTCCTGGCTTCGAAATAAAAATAAAACATACTAAAAGCATAATAATTGAACCTCAAATGATCTCTGGAAAAAATACAACTTTATCTTAACTAGAAGACAACCAATTTGGATCTAAACAAATCTTTAGGGGCAACTTCTCTACAAACTAGGCAATGCCATTGAGAAGCTCTCATTCAAACCAAGATTTATCACATGTCATATTTAATATCAATATAACAGACTAACTAAATTTGAAGAATATTACAGTATAACTCCAAAAGAGGGCTACACATGGAGGGGAGATGAACATTTTCAGCAACGTAGAAAAACAGACCTCAAATCCTGCAGGTCTGAGCTCCGTTCCTTCACCTTCCAGAGCAGTTTCCTTCCACACATGGTAGGGTGCTTAACTCAGCAGGCAGCTCTTTTGCCCTGTTTGCTTAATGACCAAGGAGATCACTTAATGACTGCCACCAGAAGTGCTGTGTTTGCTGTGGTTGAGTAAAGCAGTCCCATGGGTGTCTTGCTTAACAACTGCTTCCCTCGGTGATCAAAATTCTGGTCCTTGTGGTGCAGTGGTTCTCCTCTTTATTAATAGAGAGTCTTTAATGTAGTACCAAACATTAATTGCTTGAAATTACACAAATACTGGTTGTATCTAATGGACAATCTTACCTGGCAAGGTGGGATGCAATGTGAAAGGTATGGAGGTTGGGTCTTTCTCAAAAAATTAAACTGTATGTAAGAAATCAGTAACTTGAATTACAAAAAGGTGTTTGTGGAAATACTTTATTTATTATTAGTTTTTTTATCATCCTGCCTTTATTACTTTGTGAGCAAGTCAATGGAACAAACATACAAAATACTCCTTCCTCCTAATTTCCTTCCACAATATTTTTTTTAACATCAATTATAAGTCAGAAGATCCTCCTACTATCAATGGTTATTCTGGAATACAATCTAGAATTGCCATATTGTTTTGCCTCCACACTTCTGCAGTAAATTTAGCTTGTCACAGTCAAGCCACAGCTTCATTTAAAAAAAACACTCCTACCAATAATTATAGACTAAATTTTAAAATTATCAATTGAGCTTACATATGTGCAATCTCCTATGTCGCCATCTCACTGGAAGTCCAGTTAACAATTTGATTTTAATAATTGTTTTAGAAAGTTATGCTAAAATTCAATGTTAAATTAAATTTTCAAGAAAAGAAATTAAAGCCATTTTTTCTCTTGAAAAAAGAATGGTAAGAGATTATAATTGCTGATATGCTGACTTCCACCTCACCCCCAACACCAGGTTACATTGTGTTCAGTGGTCCACGGAGGGCGAATGGTGTTCAAGGTCTGCGGTTCATCATCCAATCAGAAAAGCCCCCACACTACTTAGAGAGCAGAGTGGAAGCCTTTTTAAAAACTATGGAGAAATCTGTAGAAGATATGTCCGAAGAAGCTTTCCACAAACATATCCAAGCTTTAGCAATTCGCCGCCTTGACAAACCAAAGAAACTATCTGCTGAGTGTGCAAAATATTGGGATGAAATCATTTCCCAGCAATATAACTTCGATAGAGGTAAGGAAAAAAAAAAAGCTTGCCATGAGCCAATTGGAAACAAGAATATTTGAGATCAACTGAATCCCATCTTCCATACAGTCTCAACAGTGGAATATTGCCTATTGGCATTTATAGACCATTTTACCCTCTGAATGTTTTGTACAATTCTGAATTATTACAGAAACCATGCAAGAGAAGATGGTAAGACTATTTAGCGGGCTAGAGCTTCTATACTACAACTGGGGCCTTTTTAATATGGAATGAAGGATAAAGAGAAGATATAGGATGTAGATAATATGGATAGACTGAAATATTACCAACGGGCTTAACTGTAGAGTCCTTGGTGCTCTCTGAGTTTAGTGGTTTAGATGTTTCATGTTCATTAGGTAACATCATAAGTGCTAACTAGACTGAAGTGTTAAAATGCAAGTTATCCATTTAAAACATTAAATTCTCTGCCAGCAGTTATGGCAATGGGAGCCAAGTTGGATGATTTTAAAAGATTTGTTAGCCATGGCTATGTATTGCACACATCAAACTTGCATATTTTGCGCATATTAAATTTATTAATTTTGTTGTCCAGATAACATTGAAGTGGGATATCTCAAAACTCTTACTAAGGATGATATAGTGCAGTTTTATAAGGTAAGTTGATCTAGGTTCTGGTTAAATTATTATTAAAAGACATATTTGTAACACTAAGAATGTATTTGACAGTTTTATAAAGATAGTTGTAATTTAAGATCATATGGATGAATTATTAAAATGTTGGCATGCAAATTCTTCTATATACTCCACATAACATAGCATATTAACAGTTACTTCATTGAGTCTCATCATTATATAAAGGAAACATGCAATATAAAATGGCTTGTAAACAGATATACACGAAACATCCAATACCAAACAATTCCACACTCGTAGTGATCCAATAATTGCCATTCAAATGTTCATAGATAAGTTAATAGATAAGGTTCTTAATAAATGCTTTAAGTACTACTTCTTCCAAGAGCTTTGGCAACCTAGGAGGATTCTAGTAAAAGGTCAACTATTCAGCAAAGAAATCAATATTGGATGACATAATGTGTTGGTATATTCAGAATGCATTTTCTAAAGAATGATTTGACAGAATGATTTGATTTGAAGATGACATGGAAATTATTTTTACTTTGCTTGTTCGTTTTTGTGATTTGCAAAGGTTGCTATAGTATCTATCCTGTGAAAATAAAAATAATAGTTATCAATGTGATAATTAATTGTAGGTTAATGTTCTAAACAGAATCTTTTTGTAGACCATTGTTATTCAATTATGTTACTGGACCTCTGGCTATGTAATTTATAGAGGGGTTGCTGTTAATAGGAGCTTGCAATGTTTCTTTCTTGCCTTAGGAATAGAGAAACCTTGCAATAATTGCTTTAAATTATGAATGCTTATTTCATTTGAAATAGTGCTAACAACATGTGAAGATACCGACTACTATTGATTCTAGTAGACTTTTAATTTTCAGAGAATTTAAAAAATAATTAGAATGTGTGTTTAATTAGATTATCTGATTAGAGTTGTGGATAATTCTGATTTACTCCTTTCACAGCTAAATCACTCAATGAAGCTTTTGATGAGCTGCAAGCTAGATTTACTTTTTACCATGTGTTTAATACTTTTCCTAAGCATTGGTACATGTTTTTGGAAGAAAGCTGAGAAGAATTATTAGTTCTTACAACATTTAGTCTTGTAGCTCATTTACTAACTTTGTTTTGAATTCCATTTATTCATGTAATGTTTATTGAATCTGAACATCTGTACTGAAGAAAATAGGAATGGTTGGCCTTAGTTAGGAAAAAATAAAACTACATCACGAAAGGCTGTCTGGGTCCTACTTGCAGACCAAATTTAGCAGTAGAATTGCTAAATTTCTTTCTGCAGCAATTTCCATAGGAAGATATAATATGTCCTAATTTTGGAGCCATGATATAATGAAGCATCTTCACTCTGTTATGTTATTCTGTTCTTATTTTATCCTATTATTTTATCTTATGTTTTACATTGTCATTTTATCTTATGTTTTACATTGTCATTGTCTGGTTTTAAGTCTAATTTTTTAATGTTCTATATTAGTATTATACTGCTTTAATTGTATTTAGTCATTGTTTCTTTTTCTTTTTTACCTGGCTGGTCATATAGGTAAATAAATTTGATTTGATTTGATTTAGCATTAATATTTCTCGAAAATCCTCTGCTGTAAGGTGCAGTTTGTTTAGCTCTGGAAAATTTGCATGACTTCTTCCCATTGCAAAGATGGAAAATTTTTATTGGAATAATTAACTCTGATTTATTTATATGTAGGAAATGTTGGCAGTAGATGCCCAAAGAAGGCACAAAATATCGGTCCATGTACTAGCAAGGGAAATGAATTCCTGTAAGTACCAAATGCACATATTTCCTCACAAATAACCTTGTGTAATCAAATTCCAGACTTTTATAATCAAATTCCAAACTGAATTTCTACAAAGGCAGAGCTGGAAACTGCATGTTCAAGTTTGCCCATAAAGATGGTTGTATTGCAGAGCAAACACACTGTCCTGTGACCTTTGGTGCATGAATAGAAATATATTCATTAATTTACATGAGTGACACTTAAATTATAAATATAATATTGAAGCAACCAAATGCATTAAAATACACCACTTACTACCCATTTATGTACATGGAAATAATTATAAGATGAAAGTAGAAGCCATATTTTGTAGAATTGGTACTGCCCAAGTTAGATCAGCTGTGATCTGTTGTAGCTGTGATCTGTTGTTCACAGCGTGGTGAACACTGTGGAGTGCACGACTTTCTGTAGAGGTCAGGATAGGAAACACCAGTGATTCGACAGTACTATTGCAAAGTGCTCATGGTAAGATGTGAAAATACATTGGCATGAATGCCTTGGGCATAGCATTTTTGTGAACTGTGAGTTGCTTGCTGGAAACAGTTTTCTTGAAGTTTCCAGCTCCAGATTTGTAGAAATTCAGCCTGGAATTTGATTACAAAATCCTTTCCTTAAGTATTGCCACAGTCTGCTCATAATTCAAAACTAGAAACAGCTGAGGGAATATCCAAGTACTGTTTTGTGAACAGTATCCTGTTAACCACAGGTTTAGTAGTAAAAGACTTGTGGTAAAAAAAATGTAACTATAACCAATAATTGACAATACTTATCCACACTCTAGTGTCTACCTTATTCACTCCTACTTCTGTGTGGAGTGCCATATTAGGAATACACTAAGAATCTGAAACAGCTTCCTTAGACATTTGGATTGAACCACCTCAAATTTAGCAAAAGTGATGCATGGCATTAACTGTAGAGGAGTTAAGCCTTGGCTTCAAATAATATTAGAACTGCTGTATTCTACATCTATGAAATAGAAGATAAATTTTGGGGCAATTTTAATGAAGCATGAGTATTAAGAACTTCCTATAAACTAGAAGACAACACCGAACTATTTGAAGCAGTTCAGGACTTGCTCAATGCCCTTTAATATTTATGGCTATTTGGACATGTAACAATTATTTTATATATAATACATATATATAAAACATATTATTTGTGTAATCATATGACTTAATTGCAATACTTTTATCAACTAATTTTAGAAGATGCTATTTCTCCTTAACTAGATGTATAATTGTTGAATAAATGGAAAAGTAATGCAACCTTGTTTGTCCCCTTTTGAAAGATGTTCTGCTATATTACACATTGTCCTCAGACACTCGCATATAAGATTAAGCAGGCAACCATCCTTTGTGGCTGTTATTTTGACAAAAATCTGCAAATTTCCAAGCAGCAGAAGGAATCAATGCATATCTTTTTAGTATATGTTATGGAGTTCTTTATTAGTCTTTAAAATATGTTGTTATTATTATTATTGAATAGGTCCTGTTGTAGGAGAGTTTCCAAGCCAAAATGATATAAGTCTAACACCAGCACCACCACTGCCACAGGTAAAAAAAAAAAAGGATATTTTCATAACTATTTCTAAAAGAGCAATGCCCAAAATGCCATCTGGTTTGTGCAGTTCTAAATAGTGTTTGAATTATTAAATAGTTGCATTTATCTGAAATACTAATGTTAATGGTTAAGATTTTGCAATCCAGACTTCAACAATATATGAAACAGGAATTATGAGATGTAAAGTTGGGTTCAAAGGAAATAGGGCACCCAAGATGATATAATTCATCACCAGAGGATTCTGGAAAAGGCAAGAGAATTCCAAAAGAACACCTATTTTTACTTGATGGATCATATAGAGCAGAGGTGTCAAATTGCCGGCCCACAGGCCGGACGCGTCATGATGAAACCGTGCCCACCCCATTGCCGGCAATGGGGAAAAAGCTCCGATACATTGCGTGATGTTACGTGATGTCGTGAGTTTGACATGTCTGATAAGAGGCTTTTGATTACATAGACTACCACAAAGTGCACCATGCCAAGTACCTACAGAAGACTATTTATGACGACTAAAAGAAGCAGTTAGAATTTTGAGCTCCCCAAAGATTCAATAAAACCACTTCACTCGGGCAGGCAAGAATCATTGAAGAGAATCGTAGAAAAATGGAAATAATAAAAAAGAGGATGATAGAAAACAAGTTGATTAAATGATATCACTAATCAACAGAAGCATAAACTTACAAGAACCACAAGAAGCAGTTTCTGCCAGACAATCTTGGCAAAAAGTTGATCAGGTAGAAGCAACTAAAAAACAAGCACAGCAAAACAACCTATTTGCACTGATTAGGTAACTAAGTATATGGCAGTTCAGTGAGTTTAACGCACAAGCGTTAAATCGAGCATTTGTTCACATTTTAGCCTGTCTAAAATCCCTTTTTAGACAGGCTAAACATTTGCTTGTTTATTCATTTAAAGGCTGGTAGTCAGCTTCTTAGTTCACCCTTCTAAACTGTCAGCAATTTTTCCTGAGCTGATTTCCTGGTTGACTCAAATCCATCATTTGGCAGCGATGTTGCACATTTTACATAAAGCTTGATTTCACTCACATTGACATGTAGAGTATATTTGTCTGCAGATTAGCTTTACTGTATTGAACATTTATACAATAGAATATACAAACCTATTTTAGAAGGATTGGGTCCAAGTCTGATTTCTGGGTTTGTTTTTTTTAATAACCTTTGCAGTTAAACCTGTGACTTTTTCAGCTTTCAGTGATACTACCTGTCTTGTATAGCATATCAGTATGAGCATGCTTGGTTCTCAATGGCTATCTTTCTAAAATGCTTTGTTTACAGCCAATTGTGATTGAAAACATGACTGAGTTCAAACGCAGCCTACCACTTTTTCCTCTGGTGAAACCTCATATCAATTTCATGGCCGCAAAACTGTGAAGAATCTTGCTGGATGAAGAACTGGAAGGGGATTAATATGCCTTCGGTGGCTTTTCATAATGAACAAAGATCTTAATCTTTAGGACAAGTGATCCAGGATTCCTGATTCCTTCTAGGTTCATCCAGCATCAGTGCTGCAATAGGGATACAGCAAGTTAAGCAAGTATGCTGTAGTCATGTGTTATGTTTGTCATAGAGCCACTACCAGAAACTAAAATTAAGTGGTATATATGAAGATCTGTGTAGGTAAATGGTATATTTTAAAATAATGTGGCCCTTTAATAGTTTAGTTTGCATGGATTGTGAAGAAGTTTCCATACCAGTCTGATCTTTGCTTGCAAATCATTGCTTTTTTTTTTAAGATCAACTGTTTTGGAAGCATATTTTATTGGACAAGAAAGAAAATATTATTAAAAGGCCATATTGATGTTTTTAAAGGAAGCATGGAGTGATAACTTTTTTTTTAAAAAAAATAGATTCTTGGAAGCAGCCATTTAGGTTCTATGTAAAAATCAGTGGAAAGGGGAGGAAAAAAATTAACAAATATCTTTAAAGAGTTATTGGAAAAGTCAAAATAGTTTTAATCTTTATACCTGTTTGAGGACATTTTATATACAGACTAATAAAATGCTGGAAACACTTGGGTAGCCATGTTTTTCTTGCCAAGAGTGTTTATGTTTATAAACTTTGTGTTTTCTTAGGGTTGCACTGATAATGTTTCTTTGACTTATAAATAAAATTACTTTGGCAATTCTTTTTCCTCCAGTTGTCATGTACTGTTTTAGGACAAATCTAACAGGATCTGGGTGTACTGTATCTTGTTAAAAGGCCATCAATAATTATTGGTAGTTATTTAAACCGTAGACAAACACTCCTTTATCAGAAACTCACAATTTAATATTTGCCTGGATCCCCTGCATACTGTGTGAAGGTCGAGTGTGATCACCTAGCATGATCAGCCTTATACACACTCAGTCTGCACCTTTCTCAGTTCACTAAGGCTTGTTGCAGATTCTCATACCACACAGAGATCTTTCTAGGAATAGAAAGTGGTAACTAACATATTTACAGAGTTCATGCACATCGGCAGTAACTATCAGTCTAATGATGCAGAAGTTGAACTTTCCTCGATCATTTGTCTGCTCAAAAGCTCTCAGTATTTTAAATGCATCTTAAATTCTTAGCCTGCATCACTTTTATGTGGCACTTCAAGCATCTGAAATGCAGTTCCAAGTAGTCTTTGATTTACGACCGATTGCTTAGGGACCATTCAAAGTTACAGTGGCCTGAGAGAGAGAACTTACCACCCAAATTTGAAGTTCTGACAGTCAGACCCCCTTCACAGTCATGTGACTGAACAGCTGTTCAGCAACATGCTACCATTTGCAGTGTTTGCGGAACTGTGGTTTGCTTAATGACCACAGCCTTCTCTTTACTGCCGTAAAAGGGTAAAATTGGGCCTGTGACCCATTTTACAACTGTCACAACAAACGACTGTAATGGACAGGCTCCATTACAGTCGTTTGTCGGAGACTACCTGTAATAGCACTATATGATTTGCTATTTATGATTCAGAAAAGCAATCATTTGCCAGTTGACTTTAAGGAAGAAAGGGGAGATAATTGTGCAAAATAAACTGGAATCAAGTATAAATAAAGTTAATATTTTAATTGTAAAACTAAAAAAAAAAAGCTTTTGAATGGTTATGCGCTCAAAAGCACATAGAGTAAAACCAGGTGCTAATTTGAGGCTGGAGCTGGAAAGTGAAGAGGCATTTGTATTTCCAATGGCAATGTTATTTCAGTTCATAGTAAGTTTCCAAGTTCATTCTCTGATTTTAGTATTAAGTGGTTAGACATGAGGACCTTGCACTCAAATATTAACAGCTTTAAAAGATGAGTCTAGAATGTGTTTATTGGGGTTACACCACTTATATGTTTTTGTTATGATTAATTCAACTGATGCCTTGTTTATTGTAAAATTATGTTATATCTTCTGGAAGAAACAAGCTATAGAACAGTTTACATTAATGTACACAAATAACTAAAGAGAGAACATAGAATTAAATGAAGTGCTATATAATTATATTTCACCTTGATGACTTAATTTAAAGAACGACAGCATATTCTTATGTCATATACTTGAGTGATTGAAAGGTACTCTTTCATGCCTCGGAGGTTCATTATTTTGTTACTCAAGAAGATGTACTTTTCAACTAGTAGATAAGATAGGAGCATTTTAACCATGAGCTATAAAGATTCTTCTTTATTGGTACAAGATAAGAGCATTGTCGCTTAACATCAAAACAAACTATAAACTGATCTGATGACATCAGTCAGATGCTCCCTTCCCACTGTAACAAATGGCAGTTTGTTGGGGCTACATAGAAGGTTTTGCAGTGCTTTGAAGTCCATTAGCAAGAGATTATTTGGAATGTGAACACAATGTTGTTTGCTACTTATTAGAACAAGAGTATCTACACAATCATAGCCTTCAAGATGCATGTCATCTTGTGGAACCCCCTTTAAATCTGTAGAAGAATTGTTTCAATTATCCAGTAAACAATGCTTAAAATAATTGTATCAAATTATTTGTATTCACAAAGCATGAAATACATGCAACAACATTTATGACAAAATCTGTATAAAGATTTCTCTTTATATACTTTTCTTCCAAATTTAATATTTTTGAATGTGTTTACATTGCAGTATAATTCTTAGAAGTCCCAGATAGTTTGGTAATACTTCGTGAAAATTCTGACAATCGTAATCCTATCACATCTTGAAAGTGCTAGATGGTAGGAGGCTGTCCTAGAATTACAGTACAAATCTGCACAACTTCCTTGTTAGTGGGGCTAGTTCTAGTCACATTTTAAGACAAGGATCTGCAATTTACTACCCTATTGAGTTCTATATTCTATACCACGAGTGTCAAACTCGCCACGTCACGTGACATGTAGTGACATATCGCGACTCTTTTTACATTGCCGGCAATGGAATGGGCGTGGCTTCAGTATGATGAAACCGGCCCACGAGCCGGCAGTTTGACACCCCTGTTCTATACTGACGTAGTTCAGATATTCACCATTCAATAACACCACTTAGGAAGACCATCAGCCAGCTACATTAGGAGGTACAGCATATCTCTCGCACACTCTTGTAAGTTCTACTAGAAGCCTTCACTCTCTGCAAGGAAGACTCTTCAGACATCATCCCAGGTCAATGTCTAAAAGATGTTTGAGTTCCAAGTTGTTTTATTAAGGTTCAAAGCCAGTATTCCAGAATCTGGATCCTTTTAGACTATTTGTGTACCATTTTTTCCAGGCCAAAGACCACACTTGGTCCTCAAGCAAGAGCTATATCTCAAACATCAGTGAGCATTTTTAAAAAATGTGATTTCTATTTCAATAAAATTAAAAGCAATAAAATGGGACAAAGATCAAATAAATACAATTACTAAAATGACACAGGGTGCAGGTGGCTAAAATGGAAGAGATGGGGGGAGTCAGAAACAGTCCCTTACTGAGGCTCAGGGCTGGAAGCAAGCAAGCACAGAATGGCTTGGACCAATGGGAATGGCCAGGATTGCAGTTGCTAAGCGATGCTGTCATGTGATGTCTCACAACTGCATCATTTAGTGACCAATGTTCTGGTCCCAATTATTGTCATATGTTGGGGATTACTTGTAATTACCTACACCTCTCATTTCCACATATGCCTAACAAAGTTCTTTCTTGTTGCCCAATATCCCATTACTAATGCTTTATCTATTTGTCAAATTAGTTAAAATCATATGTACCATATGAGGTTTTTTTTAAAAGAAACTCATACAAGTAGTCCTTAACTTATGACCACAATTGGGGCCAAAATTTTCATTACTAAACAAGATAGTTGTTAAGTGAGTTTTGGCCCAGTTTACGGCCTTTCTTGCCACAGTTGTTAAATCAAGGACTACCTGTACTATAAATTTAAAATAGATGTGGGAGGGATATTTAAGCTTGCAGAGAGGTTAAGAACTGTCAATTATTTCTGCAAAGAAAATAAGATTTTGGAATAGTGAGTAGTTCCTAATGTATCTCGAATATTTTAAAACACTATAGTTATTACTTCCATAGTCATACAAGTTACTCTCTTTATACCAGATGCTGCAAACATGAAAAAAGCATAAAAATTAATATAATATGGGTTGTATCCAAGTTAATTATAGGTGATGATCATTATCACAACACTAAATATCGGGGTTGAAGTTATAACATGGACAAAACATCATTTTCTGACATAACTGGCAGAATACATGCCAGTTTTCAGGCTGAATCTTACATTTAGAACTACTCAATTTGGAATCCTGGGTAGGAATGCCTGAGAGATTGATCCATGAATGCAAAGGGACGGTCAGTGGACATACAAAGGTTGACTGGTTTGTCCCTCAGCAGCCACCGTTTCTGCCTGATTTTAAAGTCCCCCTTTAAAAATCATCTTTAATTTTGCAGGAAGCTATCAAACGAGGGATGCTTAAAAGCAGCCTGTGTCACTTGATCTATATTAATTTATTGGATTTTTACTCAATTATGGAACAGGAATATGCCTCCTTCAAAACATTACTAAACTCTTGTTTTCTTTATCCCTCATCTTTGATCCTACAGTATATTTCTGAGAATTATAGTTTACTTACATCTGGAAAGCCACAGGGACCGAGTTCTAGACAAAGGTATAATAAAATAGCAATGGTGGGATGAGGGCTACATTAAAAGATAATGAACTTGGTATGCCCATGTAGTAGGAATAAATCATATTCGCTAGTAGGTATTTAAGTGTTCTCCAGCATTTTATAGTTTGCATTTGATAAAACAATGCAGTTTGATAACTCAGGCATTCAGTGGATTCTCTCTGGTAGATCCAAAGCTGCAGTGTCGACAAGCAATAACAAATTACTTAGTTATACTGTTAATCAGTTCTAGTGCTCATTAACAAAATGTATGTAATCATAAATAATGACTAAATAACTGTAATTTTTGCAAGTGCTGTTTTAAAAACTTGATTTAGAATCCGGGTGCATGTTTGACACAGTATGGCGGAGTATTTGTCATACTCTTAATAATAAACAACCTGAATACCTTGTCTGGATTTCTTAGATGGTTTCGATTTAATGTAGTTTTCAGTCTGATTTGTTGAACTGAGGAGGCCATTTTAGGAATACAGGAGATGTTGCTAAGGTTTTTCTAATTATGGCAGCTTTAAATAATAATAATACCTTAACAATTGCTATTGGCTGCTTTCCAAAACATATATTTTAGGAACAATTTTTGACTGGGCTCACACTATACATATATCAAAGGAAGTCGTTAATCCTTTTATTCCAGTTATTTAAAAAAAATAAATATGCATTCTTTTTTTTGGAGCTGAATTGTGTCAAAGCAAACAAATGTTTGGATTAAACAAAATAACATCATGATCCCCAGGTAAAGGCAGATATGCCCATGCAAATACAGGTAGCCCTTGACTTATGACCATAGTTGAGTTTCAAAATTTCTGTTACTAATTAAGAGTTTAAACGAGTTTTGCCTCATTTAATGACCTTTCTCGCCTCAGTTGTTAAGTGAATCACTGCAGTTAAGTTAATAACATGGTTGTTAAGTCTAT